ACTCATTGCTTCTTGTGGAGATCCCTAGGAAGTTCTGGTTATGTTGAGAAGAAGTCCAAGAGGAGCACATTCGGAGCTCAGAGCAATTTGAGTGTAGACATTTATTTTTCTATTTCACCGACAGTTATGTTTCTACTTCATCCTTTAACAACATCATACAGAACTGGGTTTCTCTGAGTTTTCTGGACTATATGGCCATGTTCTAGAAGCATTCTCTTCTGATGTTTCACCCACATCTATGGTAGGCATCCTCAGATGTTGAGAATCTGTTGGAAACTAAGTAAGTGAGGTTTATATATCTGTGGAATGTCCCGGGTAGGGAAAAGATTCCACAGATATATAATCCTCACTTACTTTGTTTCCAACAGATCCTTCAACCTCTGAGGATGCCTGCCATAGATGTGGGCGAAATGTCAGGAGAGCATGCTTCTGGAACATGGCCATACAGCCTAGAAAACCCAAAGCTACCCAGTGATTCTAGCCATGAAAGCCTTCAACAACATACCATACAAAACTGTCAGGGCTTTGAGAGATTCAGAGAAGGCCTGTATTACTCTCTTCAGAGGTGCAGATGGGAGCACAAGCGTTTTCTCAGTGACTCTGAAAAAATTGGAACTCTATGGTATGCTCATCTGTTACTTGTTCTTCCATTGGAATCCACAAGGGCTTTCTTATTCAGGGGCCAACATGGTGTAATGCATTGAGCTATGACTCCTGAGAGAACGGTCAAATCCCCCATAGCCATGCAAAACCGATTGGGTGATCTTGGGCAATTGCACTCTCTTAGCCTCTGAGCAAGGCAAAGGCATCCTTCCTCTGAGAAAATCTTGTCAAGAAAGTTGGAAACAACTTGAAGGCACAAAAAACAACAAAAAAACAGCAGCAGCAACACTTTGATGAAATGGCCTGCTGCTAAGGATAGGGCTTGTTGTTGGTTGGGTCACTTTTAAAATGCTAAGCTATAAAAAGTATTGTTCTCCATTTTGAAAGTCTTCTCCCCTTACTCTGTCCTTCTCAGATTCTACTGTTTTGAGAGGCTTTGAAAGCAGGAATTGAAATGCTCAAGCGTGCTGCTTACCCATTATAAACAGATGATTAGTGGATGGAAAATGTAGTTAGCCAAGCAGATGGCTGTTGGTAGCCCTTAAGTAGAATATAAAAACAGAAAGCAAATGATATTGGGAAATTTGCTGCTTCTGATATTGGAAGTGGTACATTGCCTTCATAACAGGAAAGCTTATCCTATATACATTTTCCAGTTCTCCTTTAAAGCCAGTTGACTTGGAACCCATTGTTCTGTGTAGTGGTTGCAAATTCCATAGTTTAAGAGCACTGTGTGTGAAAGGGAACTTTTCTTTTCACTAGCTTTATTAGTTGACCCTAGATTCTAGTAGTATACGAAAAACAGAATAAAGAAGTGCAATTTCAGCAAGTACATTTTCCTTACCTCTGTGGTGTATGATAAGAAAATTGCTACTATGTAAATTTTGTGAAAGGATTTATTTGTTTAATAGTTAAATTATTTTGAACCTAAGAGATACATTTCTACAATAGTATTTCAGAGTTTTAAAATTGGTTTTCATTTTATCTTTCTAGCTGGTGGGGGTTGCTTACAGAGAAGGCTTTACAAAGGTGTGTAATTAGGAGGCAGTTTGAGTCTTGATGCTTATCTTTACGTGACCATATTGCCAATCACCCCTCTAATTGGTAATGTTAGTTCATCTGAATAAAACTACTGTCAACGGAGTGGTTAAACTTGCATGCAAATGCATATACAACTGGTTGATATGAAAGGCTCTGGTTAAATTTCTTAAGAAATTGTCTGCTTGTACAAAGCTCTTCACCTGACTACTAGTAATTATCTATAAGTAGTCTGAGTAGAAGTATCAATTTTGAAACTCTGGATTTTGGAAAGGACTATAGAGTGTGCTTTTACATGTGAATGCCTCATAAATATTTCCCAAGAGCAATTTATTTTTCTAATTAGCTTGAATAGTCTCTGTTTAATGCAGTGCTTTAAGCAGTTTTGAATAAATCAATTCAAATACACAGCTGTTGTTCAAAACTTCACTTAAGTTACTGTAATTCTCTGTAGCATATTAGCAATGCTTGATAACTAGCAGATTTAATAATTTATTGGAAAGAATGCAATGTTTAAATTAAACCAATCTGTACTTTTTATAGGTTAAGAGAACTTAAAAATGTCTCTTTATTTTATTTTGATAACAGACCATAATCATTCATGGTCTTTACAGGATATTATAAGGAGATATATTTACACATATGATATGGTCATAATTTGTGTATTTTATTTCTGAATAGTTTAGAACTAACCAGAGTAGCACATGCCTTTGTTAAGTCTAGATGGAGTTAATTTATTTATTTATTATTTATTTATTTACTTTGCTTATATACCGCTGTATCTCAAGCCCGAAGGCGACTCACAGCGGTTCACAAACAGTAAAAACAGTAGAAACAGCAGTGGTTCCATACAACATATAACAATTGACTTAGCACATTATCCATAAATTACCAATAAGCAATTACAATGCACAATTATTACAAAAAACAACCGTACCCAATCTTCTCATCATCCAAGCGTAGTCCAGGTTCGTCGTCCATTGTTCCATTCCTATGTTCCATTACCAGATTGCACTAAATTACTCAAACGCCTGCACAAACATCCAGGTCTTCACCTTTTTGCGGAATACCATTAGAGATGGTGCTAGTCTAATGTCCGTAGGAAGGGCGTTCCACAGCCGAGGAGCCACCACCGAGAATGCCCTATCTCTCGTCCCCGCCAGCCGAGCTTGAGAAGCAGGCGGGATCGAGAGCAGGGTCTCCCCGGAAGATCTCAAAGTCCTGGTGGGTTCATAGGCAGAGATGCGGTCGGATAGGTAGCTTGGGCCGAAACCGTTTAGGGCTTTAAAGGCCAACGCCAGCACTTTGAATTGAGCCCGGTAGCAGATCGGTAGCCAGTGGAGTTGGCGCAACAGGGGGGTTGTATGCTCCCTGCGCTCCGCTCCTGTTAAAATCATGGCTGCCGAGCGTTGGACTAGTTGGAGCTTCCGAGCCATCTTCAAAGGCAACCCCACGTAGAGAGCGTTGCAATAGTCTAAACGGGATGTAACCAGAGCGTGGACTACCGTGGCCAAGTCAGACTTCCCAAGGTACGGGCGCAGCTGGCGCACAAGCTTTAGCTGTGCAAATGCTCCCCTGGTCACCGCCGAAACCTGGGGTTCCAGGCTCAGCGATGAGTCCAGGGTCACACCCAAGCTGCGAACCTGCGTCTTCAGGGGGAGTGCGGCCCCATCCAACACAGGCTGTAACCCTATACCCTGTTCGGCCTTGCGACTGACCAGGAGTACCTCTGTCTTGTCTGGATTCAATTTCAATTTGTTCACCCTCATCCAGACCGTCACAGCGGCCAAGCACCGGTTCAGGACCTGAACAGCCTCCTTAGTAGCAGGTGGGAAGGAGTGACAGAGTTGGACATCATCCGTACAGATGACACCGTACCCCGAAACTCCGGATGATCTCACCCAGCGGCTTCATGTAGATGTTAAACAGCATGGGGGACAGTATTGAGCCCTGAGAAACCCCACACGACAATGGTTGTGGGGTTGAACAGGTGTCCCCCAACAACACCTTCTGAGATCGACCCTCCAGGAATGACCGGAGCCACTGCAAAACAGTACCTCCAAGACCCATCCCCGCGAGGCGTCCCAGAAGGATACCGTGGTCGACGGTATCAAAGGCCGCTGTGGTGCACTCTGCATGGACCTACCTTTGAAGAGTGTTCAGGCAGTACTATTAGACTAGATCAGAGCTTCTCAAATCTTTTTAGCCTCAGAACCCTTTTGGAACCAAAAGTTTCTCATGGATCCCCAGAAAATTGTATATATTATATATTCTATACAAATGCGTATGTATTAATAAATGTTCATATAGTATTATAATTAAGAAATGTTTATAATTTATATATTTTGGCTTTTATCTAATTTATAGGAATCAAATGTGCTTTAACTAATGTTTTTATACTCCTTATTGTTTAATTATCTGTTTTGTTTTATTATGTTCTGTCTTTTATAGGACTTGTCATGTTGTTACCTGTTTTATTTTATTTTGCTAGTATTATTCATTGTATTTACCTATATTGTAAGCCACCCAGAGTCCTTCCAGAAGATGGGACAGGGTATAAATAAAGATTTGTGTGTGTGGAGACAGAGAGAGAGAGAGAGAGAGAGAGAGAGATTATAAAGTTCTTTCCACCCAGTAATTTTTTATGTGACTCCAGGTATATATGTATATTAGAAAAGTATAGAAAAACAAATATTTACTGATAATCAGCATTTACAAGGTTTGCTAAACAAGTTGGTTTTCCTTTTTGTGGAGTTACTGAGGGGCTCAGTGGGCACCTTCACTATATGCTACATACACCTTTTCTTTACCCAGGCAGTGTGATGCTGGTTGAACGGTTATGCCAGACTTGCACAATCTGTGGCTCTCCAGTTGTTTGGGACTTCAACTCCCAGAAACCTTAGCCAGTTTGTCCAGTGGTCAGGAATTCTGGGAGATGAAGTTCAAAAAACTAGAAGAGCCACAGGTTGTGAAGGCCTGGATTATGTTGTTGCTCCACTGTTGTCTTCTTCTTTCCTTTGAAGTGAGAGTGCTGATAGGAGTAATTCCTGCTTGTTTTCCCTATTCATGAGTAGACATTTCTGTAAATATTTTAAAGGAAAATGTATACATAAGGTCAAAATTTTACTCAAGTATATAGTAATCATAGGGGCAAGGTACAGGGTTTGTTTTGGTGATTCATGATGCAAGTGAGTTCCTAGCTTGTTATGTTGTGAAAATTATGCAGTGTTTATGCCCTTAGTGGGCAACTGTACGCAGGGAACCAATTTAATTAATCTAGTATCTGATTTTTAATCTTGTTGGCCTTAAAATGAAAAACTCAACTGTATTCACACAAAGTTTTAAAATTTCTTTAACAGAATGTGACACCAAGTGCCTGCTGATCCTGATGACCATTGAAAAACCTTCCAAACTTGCATTTATTTTAAGGACGTGTAAGTTTCTGAAATAATTTTTAAAGTAGACCTTAAAGATTATGTGTTTTTATAGATGGTGAAATTTCCAGTATAGGTATAACATTGGTGGGTGTTTTTCATTTAAAATCAGGGAAACTAAAGGTTACTTTCAGAAGAAGATGTAGCGGAGTTTTTATTTAATTCAATGTGGGGTGTGCCTGTTGTCGCACACCTTTAATCTTTTGATTCAATTATTCATTTTACTAAACAGAGAGAATTCAGAAGTTGTTTTTTAATAAACTAGATCTTTTATACTGCAAACCATAATGTGAATTGCAGATTATTTTAAATTAGCATGTAGTACCTGACTGTGAATGGGAGAGCCTTAGGTACATGTCCCATTTTCCTATTTCTGGTGGGACTGAAGAACCATCAAACCCTAGGGACTAGCCTAGGGACAATCCTAGCATAATATTCCCTAATATCCCACTCTAATGTTTTGTTGTTACTTCTAACTCTTGCACCAAAGTGGTTCACATTTGTTATCTCAGTAGCTCAGCATTGCAGAGTCTCCTTCTCTGGAGGCTTTTCCACAGAGGTTGTCTATTGGGAGTGCTTTGATTGTGCCTTCTTGGATGGCAGGCGGTTGGACTGGATGGCCCTTGGAGGTCTCTTCCAACTCTAGGATTCTATATCATGAGTAGACAATGCAGGGTCTAATGGAGACACCTTTTCTCTCCCCCATCCACCATCTCATCCTGACCAAGGCTAACCCTTTCGGAATCCAAATGCTTCCTGTCTTTCCTTCACTTTCTGCATCTGAAGGAGAAGAGGAAGGGGAGGAAAGGGCAGTGAGGGGGCTTAGGGAGAACCCCCTCCATCTTGGCTGACCCACCATGCAACTCCCAAGTTAGAAAGTCTGCCCATACCTGCCCTAAATGGTAGGAAAAGCTTATTGCAGTCTATGGTATTTATTTATATTATTTTGTTGGTACCTGATTTTTCTTCCAGTGTGAGTGCAAGGCAGCTTCAAAAAAATTAAATGTAGTTAAAGTATATGACAGAAACTTTTTAAAAATTAAATGAACAATTCTGTTTTAAACATTGCATTACAACAAAATACAGTAAACTATATATGTATATGTATATAAATAACACATTCTATTAAATTATCTTTCTGCCAGAGTATGATAATGGCCCCATGGCTTGCCCACATAAAAGGGCCTTTACCTACTGGTAGAAAGAGTATAGTCAGCCAAGCCTTCTGAATGAGGGAATTCCATAATTTGAGAGCAGCCACCAAGAAGTCTGTTCCTCAGAACCCTACTGAAGTCCTCCCCTGAAGATCACTGAGGGATAGATGATCTTTCAGATAGCCTCAACTCAATTTGTGCAGGATTTTATCGGTCATAACGAGCATTTTGAATTGTGCATGAAAATGGATCTGTTCCCAGTGAAGTTATGTGCTCCTCCCAATCAGCCCCAGACAGCAGTCTGGCCACAGGATTTTGGACTCACTGCAGTTTCCATCTAAGGACAGAACCCTGTTGACTGTGTTCTAGTAATCCAAGTATGACATGATCATGACAGTTTTACATTTTTGCTTTAAACATGTTAGTAAATGCAGATTACATTTACATTATACATTGGACCTTGCTGTTGGAATGGTTCCATTTGATTTTGTTCCTTTAAACTTTTGCATAATTTATTTTGTTTCTCTGTGTGTATACATATACATATAAACTCAGTAGTCCATTTCATGTAAGTTTTGTGAATGCATCCTCAAACTTGACAGCAAACTAGATCACCTTTTACAATCCACAAGGTGGAGATATCTTTAGCACAGTTATTCCTCCAGAATTTTTGTCTTGGGGAATAGTTCTTACCCATTATTAAACCTCAACCTTAAGGACTGTGTACTTTGTGTTATTGGTGGGCTTAACTCCTTTTGTAATCTCTGCTAAACTTCTGGAAAACCAGTAAGGACATTCCATACTTTTATTCTTAAACCAAACTTAGAATTTAGGAGCTATTATTCCCTCCCCCAAATAATATAGAGACATACTGCCCTTGAATAAGAGGCTTAGAAAGTAATGTTAGAGTAAATAACAAAGTATGGAGGTAAATAAATAATAAAGTAACTTATATTCAGAGGACTGTATTTGAGGTTGCAGATACTGGAAATCAGAAGCTGCTAAATAGCTCTTGCACCCATAGTATACCACTTGAGCAAGACAATGAAATGGTACAAATAGGCCTTTGTACCTGATAGTATCACATGCAGCACTAAGAGCTAGAAATATTGAACCTGTCTTGTGCCTCTTCTGGAAGTCATTCCTGATACAAGAGCTGCGTGCCAGCACTTAATCACAAGCACTGGGATAAGGTTTGACATCAAGTTGATTTGTGTTCAGAATTTCAGCAGTGAAGACCGTTGTTTGAATAACAAGTTGTTACAATAACTTGAATAGCAATGTAGCAAAGGGATTGTGTGCCAGCTTTTAGTAGCTTTCTCCTGACGTTAGATCATAGACATTTAAATTCCCCTGGCCTGATCTAAGATCACTAAATTGGCTAAGTATATATCACTTTTCCCTGCATTCTAAGATGCAACAGAATTTCTGTTCTATAGTTTTATTAAACCCGTTTTAATATACCCACATATATTTACATGTGGTTGTTGTGGAGGTTGGTATGCCCTTCTTCCCTCACCATAGTATCAAGGCTATGTCTCTTGATACTGTTATTGTAATGGGTTTTTGCAAATTCAGGTATTGGCTCTAAGCAGCATCCCAGACTGTTAAAAAGATCTGGTGTTTTACTGGGCTATATCAGCTTATATTCTGTTACAAATTCATTGGAAGTTTTAGCAATATAAAATCTTTTTAGAGTTGTTCTGGACTTTGATAAACCATCAAAGATACCATTTTCTGCCTTTCAGAAATGGAAAGGCGTCAGTTGAGGGTACTTCTTTCTTGTTCTTTCGTTTTGCAGTTTTGTGAGATCTAGCCTTGACTGTGTCTGTTGATAATATCTAGATTAGGTTACAGCAGTGCAATCTGTGTGTGGAAACCTTTGAAGAGTGCTTGGAAATTGATGAATAATACAGGAGTTAGAAAGCTGACTGGTGTTTGTATCAGGAGACATATCTGACCAGTGCTTGAGAATTGATATAGGCTACCTGTGTATTTCTGGGCACATTCCTAAAGAGCAGGATCTCTGAAGAACTATCAGTTCCTAAATGAATCAGTCTTACAGTCAAAATGTTCTTTGAAAGTCCATTTCAGAATGCCCTGCATCTTTTTGAGATGAGGTGCTTAGCAACAATTAATGGGGTCTTCTCCATCATGGTACTTTTCTCTTTGCCACCCTTCAAAAATGGAGAACACCTCTCCATTCCTCAGTTGGTGTCATGACCTTGAATGCTGAGTGGTGAGAGCTGTAGTTTTTATTATGGATTTTGCCCTTTATATAATGATTCATCTGTTTCTTCATTTCTTAGGCACACAGGGAGCACTTGAGATTTAAGAGGCAGGTTAAATAACAGTTCTTTGATGGAAGACAGTGCAAAAAAAAGAGTTCTTGACAGGCCACAGGTATCATGACACTGAGAAAGATCTTTATGAAAAGGCAGAAGATTTCCCCCTCAAGTACATATTGCTCCCATCTATTCAGTGATTAATACTGTGATATTTTTTGCTTTGCTTAAGAAGTTCAACATACGCTTCAGGTCCAGCCTATCTTTGAGACTGCATCTTTTTATATGAATCGGTGAGGGCTCTGAGATAGACAGAAGAGGCCCTCTTCTCGGTCCCACCACAGTCTCAAGCACGGTTGGTGGGGACGAGAGAGAGGTCCTCTGTGGTGGCCCCTCAGCTCTGGAATACCCTCCCAAAAGAGATTAGATTAGCTCGCACCCTTCAATCCTTCCATTCCAACCTGAAAACATGGATGTTCAGACAGACCTTTGACCTTGAGTAGGTTGAATGGGCCCATAGGAAGTTGACACTTGGCACTTGTGAATTGTCAGCAGTTAGTTTTTTCTACTGTTGTTTTAAAATTGTATTGTTTTGATTTTATGCTAACGTGTTGACCGGGGGTGGTTATAATTTTATGTGATTTGTTTTTTACGTTTGTACTGTTTTTACTGGTTGTATATGTGCGCCCAGGAGTGCTTTGTAAGTCACCCCAAGGCCCTTCGGGGACATGGTGGCAGGATATAAAGTTTTTTAAAAATTATTATTTATTATAACACATTTCTTAATTAAGTTCCAAGACAGACTCTTAACATTGTTTTATAAACAGTGAGGTATTATGATACTAAATTCTAGAGTTGCACTACCTCTCAAGTATTACTGAGTTGGCTTTAAAGAAATTGTCATCCAAGGAGGAAAGGATAAGGAAAGTGAACAGGTTTTAAAAATCCATTTTGGGAGGTAAAGGGATTGGGCACTTATTTTTAGTTCAAAATGCCATTTTACTAGATAATTTTGGGTGACTTTTCCCCTAATTAAAAACAATTGAGGACTCAGGGGGCGGGGCGGGGCGGGGGTATCCAGGAAGCATTAGGACCTTCAAAAACCTGTAACCCAGAATTCCTACTTCCCTGTTCTGGATATAAAGATTATTTTAAATAAAAACAAAGATGTCCCTGTTGTCATCTGACCTGAGAGTACCATACTAGAATTCAGAGTTGGCAATTGCAAACTTTTTTATTTGTAAGCAGAATCTATATATATAAATTTGTTAGGGGCATCCAACGAGGAAACAAAACTCAAAAACCCCCCAACGAAACTTAACCAAAATTCCCATGCCCATAACACAACCCACAAGGTACAAACATATCTACTCAAAATGAAAAACAACACAACAACACACTCACAAAACGGCAAAACAACAAAACTCAAAAATCCTCCAACGAAACTTAACCAAAATTCCCATGCCCATAACACAACCCACAAGGTACAAACATATCTACTCAAAATGAAAAACAACACAACAACACACTCACAAAACAACAAAACTCAAAAATCCCCCAACGAAACTTAACCAAAATTCCCATGCCCATAACACAACCCACAAGGTACAAACATATCTACTCAAAATGAAAAACAACACAACAACACACTCACAAAACGGCAAAAGGATAAAACTCTAAAAAAACCAACGAAACTTAACCAAAATTCCCATGCTCATAACACAACCCACAAGGTACAAACATATTACTCAAAATGAAAAACAACACAACAACACACTCAAAACGGCAAAAAAACAAAACTCAAAAAAACCCCAACGAAACTTAACCAAAATTCCCATGCCCATAACACAACCCACAAGGTACAAACGTATCTACTCAAAATGAAAAACAACACAACAACACACTCACAAAACGGCAAAACAACTGAGCATGCGCATTGGCGCCCAGCCGCAAGTTCCCTGGCGCGCGCACTTGCCCTTCCGGCCAATGTTCCCTCTGCGGAAACCATGCCCACTCCAAGCCCCACCGCGCCGCTTCCCACACACACACACACCCCTGCCGCACATACACACACAACCCCACACTCCATCACTCCCCCCGCCGCCGCACACACACACGCAACCCCCCTCCCCCCGCCGCCGCACACACACACGCAACCCCACACTCCATCACTTCCCCCGCTGCCGCACGCACACACGCAACCCCACTCCCCCCGCCGCCGCACACACACACGCAACCCCACACTCCATCACCCCCCGCTGCCGCACGCACACACGCAACCCCACTGCCCCCGCCGCCGCACACACACACGCAACCCCACGCTCCATCACTCCCCCCGCCGCCGCACACACACGCAACCCCACGCTCCATCTCTCCCCCTGCCGCCGCACACACACACACCACCCCACGCTCCATCACTCCCCTGCCCCAATCTTACCTCCTTTTACTTCACGCCACCTCCAAATCCCACCCTGCCCCTTCCCGCCCTGTCAAAATCTAGGAAATACAGGAAGGAAGGAAAGAAGGAAGAAAGAGAAAGGGAGGTAAAGAAAAAGGGGGAAGGGAAGGAAAGTTAGAGAAAGAAGGAAGAAGAAAAGGAAAGAAAAGGAAAGATGGAAGGAAAGAAAAGAGAGACAGCAGAAAAGAAAGAAAAAGGGGGAAGGAAGGAAAGAGATAGAGAAATAAGAGGAGAAGGAAAGATGGGAGGGAAGGAAGGAGGGAAAGAAGGAGAGAAAGAGGGAAGATTGGCCACAGCAACACGTGGCGGGTAAAGGTTGTTATTTCTATTATTATTATTATTATTATTATTTATTATTATTATTATTATTATGCTATTGTTCCTATGAGACCCTGGAGGAATGGGAGAGGTGTCAGGTCCCAGAGGCAATACATTGCATTATTGTTATTGTTATGATGGTGGTAAAATAAAAGGAAATAAAAAGTGAAAGAAGGAAGCAAACAGGGAGGGAAGAAAGGCAAAGGAAGAAAGGGGGAGGAAATGAAGGAAAGAGAGAAGGAGTGAAAGAAAGAAAGAAAGAAAGAGGTAGAGAAGGAAGAAAGGAGAGAAAGGGGGAGGAAAAGGGGGAAGGAATAGGTAGGGACCTCTCTTTCATAATAGTCCAGATATCTACCTCAACTTTCATAAGTTTTACTATAGGCCACAGCAACGCGTGGCAGGGCACAGCTAGTGCTTGATATACTGCCACAAATTGTGTCAGGATATTATCTTCACAGGTGCTTTCAATAAAGCAGCCTAATTTGGTGGCTGAAAAATGATAAGCAACAGTAATCATTTGGCTTCCATATCCAACAGATCACCGTTGCTGCTGTTGTGTTTTTAATGAATGATTTTTTGCATTAATGATGCATTGCTTAATTAGCTCACTTGTGAAGATCTCTTGTGGCATGAAAAATAGCTGTCACCAAGTGTTTGCTGCTTAGGGCCCTCTGCCGAAAGCAGCCGGCCTCTCTTGGCTTCCTTGGCAAATTGGCTGCAGTATCTCATTGATTTCCACATTGCAGAAGCAATAATATTACTGGGAAACGATGGCCGCCTGTGCAGGGTATGATACAGCACTGTTGCCAGGGTAATATTCTTGTCAGCTATCTCTTATTTTAATCCTGTGCTCTTTGTTTTGGAGCATTCCAGTTCTTGATAAGATTCTCCTTATTACAATATGCAACTACAATGGATAATAGAGCACACTTATTAACACAACAATAGAGGTGCTAATAAAAGGGGCTGCCCTTATGTAAAACGATGATCGGATAACTTTGTAGATGTTCTTTTTACAAATGTAACTGCATCTGAAAGAAAGAAGTATATAATATAATGGAGAGGTAAAGAACAAACTTTCAGTACTCTTAATTTCAAGGAAATACATAAACTGTCTTTTAAAAAAAGATAATGGCTGAAATCCTGTACAACACTTCGGTATAGCATAGAACCAAATGCTACATTGTGAATCCCAAAGCACCCTCCTCTTTATTTCCACTTAACTGCTAAACTCTAGGAGTTGCGTAGGGATTGTGAATTCATACCAGTCACAAGTGCATTTTAGGTTACATATTTGTAACTACTATACAGGATTCCAACCAATATTTTCTGTGCATTTTTACTGCATCAGATGTTCTCTAGCAGTCTCTCAAAGCTGAAATGGTTGTTTATTGAGTTACACGTACAGGGAGATAGCCAGTGTGGTTAAGTAGTTTGAATGTTCTGAGACACCAGGTCTGGAATCCCCATTTAGCTGTGAAAGCCCCATGGTAAGCCACACATTTTTGTCATTTGTTGTGTGCGTTCAAGTAATTTGCAACCTATGGCTATCCTAAGGCAAACCTATCATGGGGTTTTCTCAAGATTTGTACATAAGGGGTTTGCTGCTGTTGTTGTTATTTATAGCCCGCTTTTTCTCTCCACAAGGAGACTCAAGTGGCTTTACCTTTGCCTTTCTCTGAGGCTAAGAGCATGACATCCTAGGAGGCATCCATAGCTGAGCAAAATTTTTAACCTCAGAATTGTATTCCAGTGCTCAAATCCCTATACCAAACTCGTGGCATTAGAGGAAGACAATGTCAGCTCTCCTCGAATAAATCCAGCCTAGAAAACTATGTTGTTTGTGAGAGTCAATCTGAAGGCATGTATCAGCAGCAGCAATGTACTCAGAAACCCAGTGTTGTAATATTGGTTCATTTTCAAATGGGCTCCATTGTAGGTGGCACAGGGGGATTTCTAAAATACAGAATTGAAGGGTAGACCATTTTATATATCGGTAGTACCCTCACATTTCCTGAGCTTCTTTCCAGCCCTTTATCTGCTTCTGTGAATTTCCTGCCTCTTTCTATGGTAGCGTTTAGTGCCACAAAACGGTATGTCTGTTTAGGAATGCAGTTGCTATGAGACCAGAGTCAAATACTGCAATCTACACAATGGGTTTTGGACTTGGGAAAAATGCACAAGACGTTGCAAACTACATGATTGCTGAAAGCTGGTGTCTGCATGAGTCTGATCTTTATCCTTTGCATGACTGAGCTTACAGCTGCTTGCATTTACTTGCTTTGTTAAAAAATCCACCTTTTAGTGGGTTTGCTGTCTTTTAGTTGGTACTTGTCTGATTATTTGGTCCTGTTCTGCCACCTGGTGGGCAGCCTGGAACTCACAAATAATTTTTGAATTTTCTTTTAAAATTGGCTTTTTCATTTAAAAAAATGAACTAGAACAAGGGTGGTAGAATATCATGCGCACAATATGAACAACTAAATGAAATAATTTAAAAAATGAAATCAATCAGATTTAAGTTTGGATAGGAATTTTGCCTTTTGAGAAATTCTTCCCACAAATGATATGAAAGACTGTCAGTTAGCATTGAAGATTTTGAGTATAATTAGTCCTGAGAAGACCAGTGTTTTGCCATGCTATGGCTCTTAGAAATCTTAGATAAGATGTATCTGTCTTCTATTTCTATTCTTGTTGCAATAACAAACAAAACAGTCAAGTTCTGCAATTTATCTAGAGCAGTGGTTCTCAAGCTGTGGGTCCCCAGATGTTTTGGCCTTCAACCCCCAGAAATCCTAACAGCTGGTAAAGTGACTGGGATTTCTGGAAGTTGTCGGCCAAAACACCTGGGGGCCCACAGCTTGAAAACCACTGATCTAGAGAGTACCTAGCCTTTACGACTATGTTCTGAATGAAAGTCCTGGAGATTTTGTCAAAGGTGAGTGTCCTAAAACTGGCATCATAACACACTTCTTGCCAGAGCTCTAGAAGCATTGGCTTATCTTATTTCTATTTATATTTAGACTTAATTACTCTGTTCTATCAAGTGTCTGTTTATGATGATGATGATCACTTCAAGTATTTTAAAATCTGATGTACTGTTGAGTGAAAAAATGCAATATAAAGTTTATCATATCAGAACAGATACGCAGAATTATTTTGCAAGGCTGCTTTATTGATTTAAGGTATAGCCATAATTTAGTCACCTAACACACTTTTTAAGTGACTGATGAAAAAAGCAGTATGATATTTCTATGTTTTATTTCATTATTACTCTTTTACATAGGAAGAACAGGTAGAAACAATATTTTATATTTAGTTAATGACTGTACAGTATAGTTCCTTAGAGATATGTACCTCTCATCTCTCAAATGCACTTTTCATCTTTCACCAGTTTCAGATCACAGTAGAATGGAATTGTCATGGAATGTATGGCCAAACCGTGCTTTGGTGATGAATAGCATGCTGCTTTGAATGCATCTGCACTCTTTCACCTTTCTTCTATGATTTGAGGTAATGGAAGACATCCAAACTGACCAAACGTTAGTTACTGGTAATCAAATACTTCCTTCCACACTTATGAGTATGTTTCATCTCCTACTTTGAAAGAACATTTGTGGCAAGTGATGAATGCTGGTTTGTTTGCCCAAGTTGTCATGAAGACTGATTGTTTCAAACCATAGAAATTGGGGAAAAAAGACTACACAACTTTTGAGGAAGACAATTATTTACCCTCCCAAAATCATGGTTTGGTGATCCATTCTATTATATCCAAATTGCATCAATATGCCAATGGGGAGAGAAAGCATGGGTGGTAGGTTTCATTTTCTTTGAACAGAATGCCACAGGAATCCCCCCAGTTCATAATAATCAGCAAGAAATGCAATTGATACGTTCATTCTCCGCTTGTACATTTCATTACATTGTCCATTTTCATTCAACTATACAGGCTGTCTGGGATAGTTTATGGAAAGCATTCCTAATTAATATATACTATTTATGTTTCTGTTGTAGATGTTGTAAAATCTGGGATTCAATTTAATATCACTGTATTCAATTTTAAAGAAAAGAGATTCCACATAAGCATTAGTGAGAATCTCTGGAAATGAAGAGCTATTTGACGTTGGAATAGACTACCTCTCGTTCATTGGAGATCTTTAAAAAAGGGTGGATGCTTGTTGATGTCTCTTCCAACATTTTGCAAAGGGAAAACTTGTCATTGCTGCCAAAGCCTTTGGATATGATTTCTCAGTCTGGTCTAGCAAGCAGTTCATGCAGAATAACAGGACACCCAAGATTATATGTACCTCAGAGGACCAGTGACAAGGTTGCAGGGATGCCATTTTTAGATTTTGGTCTGAGATAGCTTGTTAATTCTTATAGTTACCCTCTATTTATAGACTGATGGAGTAGTGGCTGTTTTGCAAAACTGCTTATGCACAGGCCATTATCACTGAGGACATATTCCCTGTCATTTCACAGAGGAACCAACAATGTATCTTGCTAGAAAATTACTGAACTAGAGAATTTTTGGCTCACTTGCAACCCTGTCATGCTGAAAGTTTAACCAAGTTTCCAATTTTGTTGTTTTTGAACATCTTTATGTTTGATTCCTGAACAAAAATCAACTTGGTTACTCCTTGACTGTTTCAGTTGCTGATGTATGATCAGAATGAGTGGATTAGGGGAGAACTCCTTGGACAGCATGACCAGTGATTCAAGAAAACGCAAGCCATTGCCCTGTGATACCCCGGGACCAGGGTAGAGAGTATTCATTTTGTTACTTTATTGCGGAATATTTATAGATAGTGGATGGGTTTTTCAGTATTTAAATCTATAATGTCTTCGTTCAGTGACAAATGTATTACATGATATGCTTAATGTGTTTTAATTCACATACATGAAATCAAGTCAAACTGTATCATTGCCAGAAAAAAAGTTGCTTAATTATAGCTGCATGCATTTTTTTTGGTAATTCTTTAATTTATGAGTAGGAGCTTGATTTTTTTTAACATAAAAGCTGTAGAAATGCATAAAATGTAAATTTGATATGCTTTAATAAGGCAATTAATAGCAATAATGAAAAATATTTTGGGACTGTCTTTTTGTAAGTTAAATACTTAAAAAGAAACCATATAGAAATATACTTAAAAGGTTCCTACCTATCTTCAGAGCAAAATTATCTGTCCTGTTCTATAGATTGCTCCAGCGTTCCTTGTTTAGGAGTATTATTTGATATCCCTTCTCTGGTTATTGTGTTTATACATTCAATATTTGCCAAATACAAGATGTCCTTAACAAAGCTGGATATTTGAAAGTAGTATTCATATTGATATAATCCAGGAAACATATTCAGCGATATGTTGGCCATGCAGCAAAATAGCATACGGCTCCTGTATCAGTGGGACTGGCAGTTTTATCTATCAATGACCAGAAAATATGTATTCTCTGGGCATTTTCTAGGGCCTTCAGCATGACTCACTATTTCTGGGGCAGAAGTCCTTCATTTCAACCGTGTTTGCTATTATCCACAGTTTATGTATCCAAGTGAAACCTGGGAACCATAGCCCCCCTTGGATACAGGGGTTGTAGCACACAGGAAAATCAAAAATTTGCAAAAGAATGATATTGTGACCAATAAAAACCCCCAAGATGCATCATGCAAGCTTTCAGTGCTCCACTGACTACTTTATCTGGCAAGAAACAGCCTTGAACCCCCAGAGAAGTTAATTTACTGCAGCTATTGGAGTTTAAATTTTAGTTCTTTGTCTTAATCCCTGCATGACCAAGAAGGGAGTGGCCACTGCCTCCACTGAGTCTCCTCCAGAACAACTGAACTACAATCGAAACATCCAATACAGAATATATCCCTGTGATTCCTACACTGTCAGTTTTTCTGTCCTGTATGGTTTGTGAACATATTTTGCCCGATGATGAAGCCAGTAGAGCTTTGAAAGTTTGCATGATATCTGTTGTTCATTTTGTTTGGCCAATAAAGGTATCACTTTTGAGTAGATTTTGGATTTTGACCTCTTCTGATTTCTCCCAAATTTGTGAAACATGTGGTCTTCTATATGTTGATGAACTGCCCAGCCTAGATTTTCCAGATAAACTTTACTGATCTTCCTCACTTGATTGCCTGGTGATGTGAAGTTTGAGAAATATATTTATCCTTTTTAGCAGCCAATTTTCCCCACAGGCCATTTTTCCCACAGGCAAGTGAGGGAAATCAGCTAAAATCTCAGCCCCTTGAGGGAGCTATCTTGTCTTAGGGCTATTGGTATGTTGTGGTCGTCCTAAGGTGGCTGGATTTGACTTGGCGAATTTCAGCAGCTGACCTGTTAATTGCATAAAACATTTGCATTTTACTTCTGCATGCACTCAGTGTGATGAAAATAAAATTGCTAGCATGTATTTACATTTACTGTATTTACTTGAGTCGAATGCACACCTTTTTTTGGCTAAATTATATCACATTAAGGTGTGCATTAGATTCATTAGCACATTAGAATTGCTCACAGAAACCAGTCAAGGGAACAGTCGGGAACCGTGCAAGACTGGTGAGTTCGCCAGATTCAGCCTGATGGAGGGGGCATGGCTTCCCCTTCCCTGTTTACCATTCTGCTGTGCTGTTGGATCTGTTCTCCTCTTATTGATCTCATAATCGGGGCCCAATTAATAGCTCAACAACAGGCCTAACGTTGGGGGGTGGGGGTGCATTGAAGGCACCGAAGAGCCCAAGGAATTAATAATGCCTTGCCTTGGCTCAAGGAAGGAGGCAGCCAGCCTGGAGAGTGTTCCACAGAGCCAGCCTGAGCCTCCGCCTTCCATTTCCTCTTGCCTTCGCCTCGTCCTGACTCCCGCGCCCAACAAAAAGACATCATAGAAAGCTCCACTGCAGCATCCCACAGACTGACATGAGAGAATGGATGGAAGAGAAGCGAGGAATCAAGAAGACATGACAGAATAGCCGACAGGCAAGGGGAAGCTGTGCGCCTCTGTCAGGCTGAGGCTGGCAAATTCACCAACCTTGTGCAGTTCCCAACTGGCTGGTTTACGTGCCCTATTCTAATGCAGCATCAAATCAACCTGTAGTGTAGTTTCTGCGTACTACATAAGCCATAAAATACACTTTTTTGTTGCTGTTTTGAGGTTTTGAACATTGAGGTGCGCATTAAATCAGTGGTGCATTAGACTCAAGTAAATATGGGTAATTGAGTAGTTAGACAGTAATTTTTCAAAGAGATTGTAAGTCATGAGGTTTAACTACATGTGTTCTTGTTTTTAGTTTAATTTGCAGTGGTGAGAAACGTCGACGGGAGCAAGAAAGCAAATATATTGAAGAGCTGGCTGAGCTGATATCTGCTAACCTGAGTGACATTGATAATTTCAATGTCAAGCCGGATAAATGTGCAATTTTAAAGGAAACTGTTAGACAGATACGACAAATAAAGGAACAAGGCAAGTCTCTGATTCTTAAATTATGAAGGAGAAATTATATTCCATTATATAAAAAGTTGCTTCATTTTCAGATAACATTATGTAACATGTTTTTTGTTCCTGGGTTATAAATGTCATTTCCTAATTGTTTCGATCATAAAAACATGGAAAAAGTTTATTAAACTGCAAAAAAATTGTTTTTGTGGGACATCCAGCAGTACGTTTTGCTATAGTTTTTCAATGAATATCTCATTTGAGTCTCAACCAATTTGTGGCAGCTACAAAAATGAAGTTGTTGGAATTATAACCATTACTTTCAAAGTAAGTACCGCACAATTAAAGAGGAAATAACACTTTCAAACCAGGAACAGATTTTTTTTTTTTAAAAAAATTGTTACATACTGTAATCTGATGTGGAGTTTTCAATTTAAGGCTAGCTTTTAAGTGAGGAACATTTGTTACATTTTTGTTCTGTGATAAGCATTTGATTACTGTGTATTGTGTAAGTTATTGGAAATAAAACATAAATGGGATTAGAATGTACAAATGGAGGGATAGACAGGAACTTTTCTTAACTGAATCTTAGTTTTACATTGATTATCTTGTTCTAGTCTTTGTAAGTTAATAGGTTCTCATAGGGACAAATCTTGAGTCCCCCTAGGGCTGTGGTTCTCAACCTGTTGGTTCCCAGGTGTTTTGGCCTACAACTCCCAGAAATCCCACCCAGTTTACTAGCTGTTAGGATTTCTGGGAGTTGAAGGCCAAAACATCTGGGGACCCACAGGTTTAGAGCCACTACCCTAGGGGTTGAGAAACGTGGTATAGAAATAAATAAATAAATTCAAGGTATTATCCACAGTGAATTCAGAAATGAGGGTTTGGCCTTATAAGTTTCTTCCTTCAACCATCTTTCATTCTTTTCCACTTCACCAAAAAGCAAAATGGTGGAGGAACTATGTTGGTAGACCAATGGAATCAATTGTCAAATGATAAGTTGATAGTTATATCGGTCTCATTGATTCAGTGGATCTGCTCTTGTTAAGGCTACCAGTAGGATTCAGGCCTTATGTGTGTAATCCTGGATGATCTGGTTTTTTTCTAACCCTTTAAATAGTATCTCAGTGCCCTTATCAAAAGAATTTCCGTGTTAGGTTAAAAGCATTTTTTTTCTATACTGGAGAGAGAGAAAAACATGATGAGAAAATGCTGTGGCCAATATTGAACGTGTTCTCACATTAAGTGCTTAGTTGGACTTTATTTTCATTGAAGATTTTAAAGATACTATATTTATCAAATTTCAGGAAAAACAGCTTCAGCTGATGATGATGTTCAGAAAGCTGATGTGTCTTCAACTGGTCAAGGTGTTATTGATAAAGATTCATTGGGACCTCTTCTGTTACAGGCAAGCTTAAAGTTTATTTTATTTGACTACTCACTAAGAAATGTTTTATTGTTTTACTGTAGACATTCTAGCCTATAGGAACTTCAGGAACGTATACTTGTGAGATATTTTTAAATGAAGATAATTGATACAAATATTGTACAGCACTTTAAACACTGGAGAGGCAATGCCTCTCTCATGCTGACACCACAATTACATACTGAGAAATCACTTTAGAGATTAGTGCAGTGTAGTGGTGGAACTGTGTCCTTCCAGATATTTTTGGGTTACAATCCAGAGTAGCCAGAGGTTTGTGTCTAAGAGACTGGTAATCTGAAGCATATTGAAGACGATAGCTTTCTATGTCTGGTGTGGGATATAATCCTGTTTTACTTCATCAATCAACTTATAGTTTTCTATCTATATATCTGTTCAGTCAAGAAATTTGTTGAGTACAGGAGAAGGCCAAATGGAAAAACATAGTTGGAGTTCTGATTTGTGCAATATTATCTTGTGTTGACTGTATATGTTATTGAAAAAACTACTTGCTGAAGCTTTTTTAAAAACCTCATCAGTTTTTATGTGGGCTATAGTTGTCATTTAGTTCTCATTGCTTAAATTAGTGGTCCCCAACCCTTTTTTGACCCTGGAGCACTTGATGTGGGGCCACTTTGACCAGGGACCAGTCTTCAACATCAGTACCAAAAGGATTATGAATCACTGGGTTGTTGTAGGTTTTCTGGGCTATATGACCATGTTCTAGAGGCATTTTCTCCTGACGTTTCGCCTGCATCTATAGCAAGCATCCTCAGAGGTAGTGAGGTCTGTTGGAAGTAGGAAAATGGGTTTATATATCTGTGGAAAGACCAGGGTGGGACAAAGGACTTTTGTCTGCTGGAGCTAGGTGCGACTGTTTCAACTGACCACCTTGATTAGCATTTAATGGCTTGGAAGTGCCTGGGGGAATCTTTCTTTGAGAGGTGATTTGATGTGCCTGATTGTTTACTCTGTTGTTTTGCTGTTGTAATTTTTGAACTTTTTAATACTGGTAGCCAGATTTTATTCATTTTCATGGTTTTTTTCCTTTCTGTTCAAATTGTCCACATGCTTGTGGATTTCAGTGGCTTCTCTGTGTAGTCTTACATGGTGGTTGTGAGAGTGGTCCAGCATTTCTGTGTTCTCAAATAATGTGCTGTGTCCAGGTTGGTTCATCAGGTGCTCTGCTATGGCTGACTTCTCTGGTTGGAGTTTTTGAATCAGTTTTTGGTCAACTTTAGATTCGGCTTGGTTATTTGGGGTACCGATTCAGAAAATTGCATTGGATAGACCACAACTCTAGTTTCTGATACAGAACATATGCCACCCAGTAGTCACCATCTGCTCGCCCACTGAAAGCTGTGTTTAATAATCTAGAGCTGATGTGACAGTAGTAACCTTTCATGTGTAGTCAGTCAGCCTTTCCCCTCCCGGTATCCTTGTTGCCTCGGCACTTAAGAGGGTTTCATGAGACCAGTCGCTCTCAATGCCACGTGGTTTCGAGGCAGCGATGTAGTAGTGTTGAGGCCACAGACCATATTTTTGTTCTTGGGTACCCCTGGTGGTCGACAGACCACAGATTGGGAACCATTGGCCTAAGTGATTAGCAGTGTAAAGGAATCTGCTGTGACACATACGAAGATTAATCATTGTTTTTATACCAATAGGTATAATTTGAACTAATAGTTTGCTCAGTATAGTTTTTTCTATATGTCTTCATATATGAATAACCCCTACTCAACCACTTCCCATGTGCACACATGCATATCCTCTACATATGTATTCCTATTCTGTTGCAGTAGCTCTTTACTAATGGGAGCACACTGCATGTACGCCAGTGGAGATTTATTGTGAATAAACTTCTATAACATTACATTCTGTGAAATCTGCATCCAGATGTGAATGACTGTTTTGGAAACAAGATACTCTAGGGCAGTGGTTCTCAACCTGTGGGACCCCAGATGTTTTGGCCTTCAACTCCCAAAAATCCTAATAGCTGGTAAACTGGCTGGGATTTCTGGGAAGTGTAGGCCAAAACACCTGGGGATCCACAGGTTGAGAACCACTGCTCTAGGGTAGGGAATTATGTGGTTTTCCAGATGTTGTGTACATCAACTGATAACATTCCTTACCATTAGTTCCAATGGCCAGGGCTGCTGAAACCTGCGTCGGCATCTAGAGAACTATACAGTTCCCATTTTTATTGGTGTGTATAAAATGTGTGTCTACATTTTGGATAATATCTTGTCATAATTTTGTTTCTAGGCATTGGATGGCTTCTTATTTGTAGTCAATCGAGATGGGAACATTGTATTTGTATCTGAAAATGTCACTCAGTATTTGCAATATAAACAAGAAGACTTGGTTAATACAAGTGTTTACAGTATTTTGCACGAGGAAGATCGGAAGGATTTCCTTAAAAATTTACCAAAATCTGCAGGTAATAAGGCCAATATTCATCTCAACTATGCAAAATGACATTTTTTATACAAAAAGCTAGCCCCTAGAATTAAAGTATTAGTGTTCAAAATGTTTAGTTTTTCTATGCAAATTATCTTTCATATTTCACATATTATTTTAGAACTGCCATTTTTCCAGCAAATTGTTATTCATATAAAATCAAGCACTGTGCCTAGTTAAATTACATTTGGATCTCTTGTGTATTCATTTTAAAAAAATACAGTTTCTTAAATTCATCTAGTATGAAGATTTAAAAGGGTGGTTATCAAATTTATCTTCTGCATAAGCTCCATTCACTTTCCCAATAATTTCAGTTAGAGTAAACTATACTTGGAGCCCCCTGTGGTGCAGCAGGTTAAACTGCGGAGCTGCTGAACTTGCTGATCGAAAGGTCAGCAGTTGGAATCAGAGGAGTGGGGTGAGCTCCTGCTGTTAGTCCCAGCTTCTGCCAACCTAGCAGTTTGAAAACATGTAAATGTAAGTAGATCAATAGGTACTGGGGAAGGTAACGGTGCTTCATGCAGTCATGCCAGCCACATGATCATGGAGGTGTTTACGTACAACGCCAGCTCTTTGGCTTAGAAATGGAGATGTGCACCACCACCCCAGAGTCTGACACGATTAGACTTAATATCAAGGGGAAACCTTTACCTTTATCTTAAACTATACTTAAATATGCACTCAGAAGTCAGAGTCCAGAAATGTGGTGCCACAGCATAATTTTGTACCCTTTCTCTTATATGTGAAGATCAGTACTCAAAAGGAAGGGAACAGGAAGAAATGGGATAGTAATCACTGCTTGTTTATCCCTTACAAACTTAAATCTAACATCAGCAACATTGGTTACAGGCATTAAAAGGCATATGAAATTTGTAAGAATCATATGTATCAGTAGCTTGAACTTTTTCTTCCCTTGCCCTTTTCAAAGAGATGAGTTACATTACATTTCTGTCTTGCAGATCATTGGTATTACATATAAGGCACTGGCATTTTCAGTTTTAGCAAAGTCATCTGATTTCACTGGATGTTCTTTTTGATTGCAGTTTTAATATCTAATGGAAAGCCATTTTCTACCCAAATTGTAACAGTTTGTTTTTTTATATATGTATGATTTTAGTGAATGGAGTTTCTTGGACCAATGAAGCACCTAGACAGAAGAGTCACACATTTAATTGCCGCATGATGGTGAAAACAGTACATGATCTTCTGGAAGATGTAGGGAGCAACCAAGATACACATCAAAGATTTGAAACCATGCAGTGTTTTGCTTTATCACAGCCAAGAGCTATGTTAGAAGAAGGTGAAGGTAATGGAAAATGGCTTCTTGGTGATGGTTGACTTTGATTAATTATGTGCATCATAATTTACAGTGGAATATGTGATGCACTTTTTAAATAGCTTAATCATAAGATAACATTGTTATCACCTAGAGTGCATGATGTTAGTTTGCTGGAAAATAAGAACGTTTGTTTTTAACACCTGTATCTTTTTTCAAACAATTTTAAACTATTTTGTGTTAGTTTTTTTAAAAAAATGAGAAAAAGACTGAATCCAAAAGTAAATAAATGAATAAATTGGAAGGTTTCCATATTTTAAATAATATTATCTAATTTATCATATGTCTGCAGTACCTAATACTTAAATTCAAGATGAGAAATCTCCAATTCAAAATAACTAATTGAACTTTGAGTTTTAGTAAAGAATGGGTGTGAGTCTCTGAGCACAGACAACTTATATCTTATTGACAACCTGTACCCTGTGACAGACTGAGAAGCAAGAAAATTTGTGAAAAGGAAATGAGTTTTGTAGTGCATTAATTCATTAGTCTGTTCCCTTGAGCACTGGAGTTTGTCATTTCCTGTTCCCTTAAAAGAATAACTAGATATTAATATACTATATATTTCCTGTCTAAAATAATAATTGTAGTATAAAACCTCCGATAAGTATGGATATATTTGCACATCTCTGTGTGTGGGTTAGAAAAATTTCTATGGAAAAATTTCACCATATATCTGCCTGTAGCCAGTGATCTGACCATGAGAAGTGTCTCATTTCACTATTAGTTGATCCCCTTCAATTCCTATGGCAGCTGGTGGTATACCTTCATTTCTGTAGATACTATACAACACTAGTGTTTTTTTTAGTGTCAAAGTACTTCTAAAATATAATCCACAATTGTTGAATTGCAGATTTGCAGTCTTGTATGATATGTGTGGCACGTCGTATCTCTGCGGTGGAAAGAGCATTTTCACCAAATACAGAAAGCTTTGTTACTAGGCATGATCTTTCAGGTGAGAAACATAATTGTAGAATTCATGACATCTATTTTCATTGGTAATAAGAACAACACATATTTTGTGTATTTAGAAGATATTGTATAACTGCATGTTTTAAAACGAGTTATTATTATTTCCTTTGGAGGATTTGTATTCTTGTTGTTATGTGCCTTTGCTTCCAACCTATGGCGACCCTAAGATGGGGTTTTTCTTGGCAAGATGTATATTGAATAAATCTTGCCAAGAAAAACCCATCTTTGGACAATCTTAGACAAAGAAGTAGTACTTCTGTATTATTTTATTTTTTTAATTTAGTGTAGTAGAGTCTCGCTTATCCGACATTCCATCTTATCCGACGCCCCCCTTTCCCTCCAGCATTTCCCCTTTAATTAAAGGAGCACTCCCCAACTCCCTCTCCATTCCCAGTAAGTGAAAAAGGCAAGACAAGGAGGGGGAGGAGGGAGGAAAGGGGGAAAAGAGGCAGGATCGGAAGCGAAAGAACCCTCCCTCCTTCTGTGATTTCCATGCTCCTCTTCTGCATCTGGGCACTTCCTGCTGGGCTGCTCTAGCCCTGAGGCTTTGCCTTGCCTTAACCGCTTGAGCCCCTGTTGTTAGTATTCTAGGTGTCTAGTGTCGTGTCAGACGGGTAAGAGTAGGAGACTCCGTATTATCCAACATTTTCATTTATCGGACGTTCTGCCGTCCCGTTTATGTTGAATAAATGAGACTTTACTGTACTTTTATATTGTTTTATGTTGTTGGACTTTTATATTATATTTATTTGTATGTATGTATGTATGTATGTGAATTAATGGTCTAAGCATTAATTAACTACCTACCTGTCAAACACAGGGGAGAATAACAATATTTAACAATATTTAAATATTTAACAATATAAATATATTTAAATATTTAATTTCAAAAATTCCAGCATTTTCCAAAATTAAATACTTTTTTTCATCAACAGGTAAACTTGTCAACATAGATACAAACTCTCTCAGGTCCATGAAACCTGGATGCGAAGATACGATCCGTCGTTGTATTCAGAGATTTTTATGTCAAAATGAAGGACAACCCTGGTCAAACAAACGCCATTATCAAGAAGGTAATTTCTCATATTTGAGGAAGCCATATTTGAAGAAGCCAGCTTTTCTTTTAAATTGTTCCACCTTTGCTTTTACATCTAGAATCAATCCAAAATTAATACAATGACTATTATTATTAAGAGGTACGTTTAAGGTCAAAAAGGGCAGTGTTTATTTATGCTAGGCACAAAATAATAACTGTGGTTTTACTGAGATGTAAAGAAAAAGTAGGATGATGCTATCTGTTGTGATGGTAAAATTTTAATAAGTAAAATATATCTGTAAGTGAAGAATAGCTGAATGAACTAGATAGTGGTGTAAATATTTGATATATGGGATGAACCTATATTTCTCTTTTATTTATTGGAGAGACCAGGGTTTCATCATATAATAAACCTTGCTAAACACATTTTCTCCTCATGGCCAATCTTGTAATGTATAACAAATGAACACAGAAGAGCATCAGAACTAGGTGATAATTAGTTTTGTTGATATTCTGGAGAGGGGGCAAGAGGAGCAGATGAGGAGAACACATCAGGTCACCTTCTTTGAATAAACAATACAGTATTTGTTCTTTCAGTATATGCCAGATCAGTTGTGCTCATTTGCCTTTGTATGAAAGTACTTGAAGGAAAACTTAAGATTCCTGTCTAGTTCAAGAAGTGTGTAACTATCTAAAATTGCACATTCTTAATTAAACATTTAAACATATTACTTTAGAAGCATTAGATTGAAATGGCAGATATGAAGCTGACTTCTACATATATTTATTACATAAATATAGATGTGTTGTTTTTAAGTAGGAAATAGTAGATTTCAGCAAGGTTATGGATTATTGTTTAAAACTTATGTTTTAGAAGTTTTAAAGTTGTTCTTTTGTGTAAGATTTTTGTGTAGTATCAGTATCATATTTTTTGAAGGTTGCTGATGTTCTGATAGCATTTGTTTCTTTCCAACAGCGTATATACAAGGCCACTCTGAAACTCCATTCTATCGGTTTTCCTTAGCAGATGGAACAATAGTGATAGCACAGACAAAAAGTAAACTGTTTCGAAACCCAGTTACCAATGACCGTCATGGATTTATCTCCACTCACTTTCTTCAAAGGTGAAAACAACAGTTTCAAAAGTGTTTTCTTTTATTAAACATTTATTCTGGCATCTTGTTGTTGAACAACATAGATGTCATTTCATATCAATAAATAAATATAACAACAACAGCTAGGACACAGGAAAATAAAAAATTGGTTTTGATACTTGCACAAGAATAAAAACAGAGTTCTGAAGATTGTAGGCACTGATGCCAGAGTGACTTCTTTGCGAACCGAACCACTTGATAAACAATGTTAATGTGTTCTGCTATAACAAATGTAGGTGCTCACGTTTACTGCTTCCTGGAAGAAAATATAAGAAAAACATAAGTATAAGAAGATAATTCACTGTGTTTATTGTAAATCACTGTATATATATCCACTAATGCTTTGTGTATGTGAAATTTTCAGAGAACAAAATGGATATCGACCAAATCCTGTTTCAATGGGACAGAATATCAGAGCACCCACCACCGGGGGCACAAATTCAGGTGGTGGTGTTATGAATATGTTGCCTGGGCAAAACATGCCTTTGCAGAACAGGACCTATGGCATGGGAGATCCTAACTTGATGGGGCAGATGAGCAGTGCTAGATATGGTGGCCATGGAAATATGGGATCAGTGAACTCTGTGCCAGGAATGCAGTCTTCTCCTTATCAGGGTAACTATGGATTAAATATGAGCAGCCCACCACATGGCAGCCCAGGCTTAAATTCCGGTCAACAGAATTTAATGATATCTCCTAGAAATCGTGGGAGTCCTAAAGTGAATTCACACCAGTATTCTCCTGTAACAGGTATGTCCCTTCCTCTTCCTGTCTTTCTGTCTGTCTGTCTGTCTTACTTTTTCAGAATTTGAAGTCTATTATGCAGTTGGTCATAGATGAGGATTTATTGTTTCCAATGCATGACGAAACTTATTTAGATGGGGGGGGGGGGTCTGCATCCCTCTTTGAGTTGGATGACCTAAAGGGGTTCATGTCACTGTGTCTTCAGTGCAAATACTGGAGGGAACTTTGGTACTTTCATGCTGAGGCCAGGACCATGGATTTGCTCTCCCTCTCCCTGATTGCAATTACTACTATATTCCCAGAGTGTTGTATAGCATGAATGTAAAAGAACACAGCAATAATAATAATCTGACCATATTTTACATCTAGTATTCCCCTGGAAGGCATCAATAAATGTAGATGTGGCTGTTTTCTTCAATACTTGTTTTTCTCTCTCTTTCGTATAGGTGTGCACTCTCCTATGGGACCTGCCAGCAATACTAGCAACAACTTCTCAAGCAGCTCACTTAGTGCTCTTCAGGCAATTAGTGAGGGGGTTGGAACATCTCTTCTGTCTACGCTTTCTTCACCGGGTCCCAGACTGGACAATTCTCCAAATATGAATGTTTCTCAACAAAGTAAAATGGGTAATCAGGACTCAAAGAGCCCTCCAGGCATATATCCTGAGCAAAATCAGGTGGAGAGCTCTATGTGTCAATCAAATAGCAGGGACTCCCTTGGTAACAAGGATAGCAAAGAGGAGAGTCTTGAAGGATCTGATCAAAGGGGTCCAGCTGAAAGCAAAGGTCATAAAAAACTTCTTCAGTTACTCACTTGTTCGTCAGAGGACCGAGGACATTCAACACTGTCAAACTCTCCCTTAGACTCTTCTTGCAAAGAATCATCTACCAATGCTACAAGCCCTTCCTCTGGAGTTTCCTCTTCTACCTCTGGAGGGGTTTCTTCATCAAACATGCAAGAGAAGCACAGAATTTTACATAAGTTGCTACGGAATGGTAATTCTCCAGCAGAGGTAGCAAAAATCACTGCTGAAGCTACTGGCAAAGATACATACCATGATAGCAATACGGTTTCCTGTGGGGAAGGAATGGTGAAACAGGAGCAAATGAGTCCTAAAAAGAAAGAGAACCATGCTCTGCTTAGATACCTTCTTGACAAAGATGATGGAAAGGATTCACTTTCAAAAGACATTAAACCTAAAATAGAATGTTTAGATAGCAAAATGGGACAGTGCTGTAGTTCTGCTGTACCTACATCAAGTCAAGAGAAAGAGATGAAAATAAAAACAGAACCCACAGAAGAGGTGAGCTATTCCATTCTGGTGTTACTACCAGGTAGAGTAGACCAATTGAATCAATCACTGAAGAGTAATTAGTCACTTGCGTACATTTCATTGATCCATTGTCTTTGCTTTACTCAAAACAAGCAATTGGATTTTGTGCATTTGTTGTTAAATTCACTAAATGAATTTTCTTTAAAGATAACACATTGATGAACTTATTTTCAAATAAGCTCATGGAATGAAAAGAGCCCCTTTCAAAGTAGGTTTGGCAAACCACAACAACCTAAACCCTGAATAAACTATATTATATCAAACTGCTTTTAAAGGGATATTAAAACTTTTATTTCCCAAAGTTCAAACTGAATATTTAGTTATCAACAATATAATATTAGTGTTCTTTAAAAAAAGAGAATAGAGTAATCCCTTGAAGAAATATTGATTCTTTTTATAAGGGACAAAATAGTATGCCATTCTAAAAACACATACTACACATTTTTTGTTGGGGAATCTGAGCTGCAAGGCTCAAAATAACCCTCAATTGGGGTGATTCCATCATAAATATCGCAGAGTACCAGAAGTAAACTTCATAACAAGCAGAAACTTATATGAGATGAGCTGGGATTCTATATCTTAGGATGGATCAAGATTGCAGAGTTAGAACTTTAGGTTCAAAAATATTTCAAAAAATATTTAGGTTCAAAAAATACATTCTTGATAGAAAAGGTCTTGGAGCTAACTAGCTTTTTAAATCTCATCTTCTAAAGGAGGTAAAAGGTAAAAAGATCCATGCCACTAAAAATGGTGGAGGGACCGCTTGGTCAATCCAGGGCAATAAAACTTAAAGAGAAGTTCCCTCACAGAATTCCATAACTAAGTCATCAAAAGGGGAGGAGACAGTGGCTGGCAGGAAGAGTAAAGACAAAGCCCTTTTGAGAAACATGCATAGGAATGTAGGGGGAGGAATCGCCCAGCTTAGTCCTATCTCTAGCCTAGCTACTCATTGAGGTCTGGAAACTTGATGATACAAGAAACTTGTGCAGTCCAGGGATGAAACTCAACACTTTTTAAGCACATACATCAAAGAATTAACATTAAAAAAATAAAATCTGCCAATATATTGTTCTAAACTTTAGTGACTGAAAAAGCCTAAACTGGTTGATCAACTAGATATTGCAGTCTTCGTTTTAAGTTTTCCAGGGTATCTCCTAATTAAATTGGCCATATATACATGAGAAAGAATACAGAAATACAAACAGATCCATTTCCAAATCCTCTGTTTCTTGTTCTACCAACATATTTTGCTCAGTTAAGCCCTAAGGTACTACAAGATCCTTTTGCATACTGATATTCCAAACTAGAACAAACAGCTATGTCTTTTAGTTTCATGTTTATATCTGCTTGTATTTTCTGAGTGGAAATTTAAAACATGAAATTCATATGTAAATATTTATTCTTTGATTTTTCAGATGAGTGGAGATTTGGTGGACAATTTAGATGCAATTTTGGGTGATCTAACTAACTCAGATTTTTGCAGTAATCCTATGTCTACAAATGGGAGTAATATAGGAAATAAGCAACCTTTATGTCAAGGAACTGCACCACCAGGTAAACAGTTTTTCTTTGACAAAACTTTGTTTCACCCAGCAATTATTGTGAACTGATAGAATGGTATTGTGCTAGCTTGTTCTTGTTGAGATTTCTAAACCAATACATATGATTAAGGATGGGATCATTGTATATAGTGAGATCAATGCAAATTTAAATAGGAAAATTTGCATAATTAAGCTATGCTTCACATTATTTTTTAATTTTCCAGCAATAAACGTAGCCTATCTTTGATTATTTATCATTTAAATATAATTATCTTTTTATTCAGTAATATTTGATAGTGAATTTCAGAATCATTGAGATTTTTAATGTTTATTTAAAGACATTTTTGCATCGATTAAACACAAAAAACCTCTGAAAGCTAAAGCTGCAATATACCACGGCAAAGTTTGTAGAGCATCAAATCCCTGGTTCCTCTGCCTGGTTTTTCCCAAGGCTGTGCATGCTTATTTAATCAAAGCACTGTGCACTTCTAGAATGTATAATTAGGGGAATTAGAAGGGCAGACAGTTCAGATTGTTTTAATGTCAGATTGCTTATTAATGATAATTTCAGTAAGGAAAAGTAATCAAATGAAAACAGCAATATGCACTGAAGTTCTATTTTTAGTATAAATATGCTTATGGAAATGACAGGTAATTTTTTATCTTTCTCCTTATGATTCCAAGCTGCATTTTCTAACCTTTTGATGATGTAATTTTACGTGAAACGCAACTAATGAAGACTGTACAGATCCAAAGAAATGGGCCAAATTTACATAGGTCATAGTAGATTTGTATTTAGGTTTTCCTGGTCCACACCAGCCCAATGACTTCATTTGACTACATAACCAACCCACACTGTTTTGTGAACCTTTGCTGGCTGTTGTATACTAATGTGAATGTTTTGTTTAGATTTATGTTATTATAGAATTTTTACTGATTACATGTAGTTTAATTTATTGATATAAGGTTTAATTTACTAATGTTAGGTCTTAATTTGAAGTTAGGCTTTAATGTTACTTTTATATGTCGGGGTTTTCTGGAATTTTATGTTACTATTGCATGTTTTATGTAGGCATTGAATGTTTGCCGTTGTTATGCTGGAATCTGCCCTGAGTCCCTTCTAGGTGATAGGGTGGAATACAAATAAAGTTGTTGTTGTTGTTGTTGTTGTTGTTGTTGTTGTTGTTGTTGTTGTTGTTGTTGTTGTTGTTGTTATAGAGATCAGTTGAGTAGATCAAGCTTGCGCAATCTGTGGTGCTCCAGATGTTTAGGACTCCCAACTCCCAGAAGCCGTAGCCAGTTTGTCCAAAGATCAGGAATTCTGAGAGCTGAAGTCCAGCTCGATGAAGACTTTTGGTCATTGTATTCATCAGGTCATTGTATTCCTCAGATCTGCATAACAGTTTCTGTCTGTGATACCTGATAGAAATTAACATGCGAGGCTTTTATTAATGTTACAGGTAGCTCATGTTGTTTTCAGGTCTTAAATTGGCAATTATATTTTTATTCTTCAACAGGTATGAGAAGTCCCCAGTCTGTACAGAACACCCGCCCTCCTTTCAACAGAGCCATGTCTTTAGACAGCCCCATGTCAGTGGGTTCAAGTGCACCAGTGAGGGGTGTCAATGCATTTTCCATGTTGCAGAAGCAAAGCATGATGGGAGGTAGTCCAAGAATGACTGAGAACCAGGAAAATTTTGCCACTAATATGGGTTCGTTGATTTTTGAATGAGCCAGCTTTGAATTTTGTTTAAATTTTGTTTTTGAATTACAGGAATTTTGATGAAGTCGCTATTATGAACTATAAGAACTGATAGAATGGTATTGTGCTAGCTTGTTCTGGTTGAGATTTCTAAACCAATACATATGATTAAGTATGGGATCATTGTATATAATGAGATCAATGCAAATTTAAATAGGAAAATTCCAGTTTGTGACCAAAAGCTTGAATTGCTCCCTATCTAGAATTGACCTATTGTAGATCTGCAGCCATTCTGGTGGAGAGAGAAAGGGATCAGAGACGTGTTTGACCACATTTTTGTTATTGTTATTAATAACTCTTACCTGTTTTTTTCCTATTTTCTTTTCATCAGTTGTGCAATGATTACATTAGCCAGAAGATAGCATAGATTCCAATGGATGATATAATCATTTTGTATTTGGTGACAGGAACATAGCCAGATGCTTCTGTAGTCCCTGTTCTCCTCTGGACATAAAAAGACGAGATTGGGGCTCTCTAATTGGTTTGGGGAGTGTAAATGGCTCAGCATAGCAGTAGATCTGCGTATGGAACTACTAGGCTGCGCTAAACTCCACGGGATTGCAGCTAAAGTCAGTTGAACTTAGGCAATCTGATGCATATTTAAGATGTTACGAAAACATGGCTGCCACACATGTGCCCCATGTGTATCTGTGGATTAGTGTTTTTCAGCTACCCCTTTCTAATGGCAGTCTCTATCCATGCTATTCTATGGAAGGAAGGGACCCTTGGTGTTTGTATGTGATTTATGCTATAAAGATGGGGCAGCACATTTAGATCTATCATAATTGTGCCCAAGGGAACAATACAAGAAGGCCTGCCATTAAAATTGCACCATATTCAATATTTTTCTATAAGAGAAGTAATATACTTAAATATGTTATTTTTTTCAAGGAGGATCAAGCAGAAATATGCCCATGAATCAGCATTCAGCAAGTGACTGGAGTGTACAAAACTCAAAAGTGAGCAGGATGGAGCCTACAAGTGCTGGTTCAATGACAAGACCAGGGGCAGACTGCAACCTTTCCCTTTCTAGATCCTCAGTTGGCGGGTCCATGCCTGGTTTGCCCATGAGATCCAATAGTATGCCTGGAACTAGAACCATGCTCCAACAACAGATGATTCATATGAGTGAGTTCTTCTAATGCTTGTTTGTTGAAACTCATACCTTTGTTCATTATAGCTTCTGCAGATGGCAGGGATATCTTAAGCATCTTATATGTATCTGTTTCCAGATTGTTTACATAGCAAAATGTACCATATTTTTGAACAGTTGGTAAGCCAGTGTAGGTGGATAGATTGTGGAAGACAGAGAAATCCTATAATTAAAATCTAATGGAGCATTGAAAGTACTTTGTGGTCCTCCCTTTTTGTTAATATCTTAGTTCTCTGATCTGGAAAATATGCTGTCATAATAATCTGACTCATACAATGTTCAGTATAAAGAAATAAGGTTATAAATAGCTTGGAAACTGTGAAATGTCTCATGAATTATAAGCAGGTTCTTATTAAAACATGCAAAATAGTGTATTGAGAATTATATGAGTGGCAGTTGACTGTCTTGTCCTTTTGCGAAAGAAATGGATCTGTAGATCAAAAACTGAATCTGCTAAATGCTAGTGAATTAGAACAGATAATTAATTTAGACTACAGCTCCTTTCTCCTGTTGTGATTGCATCATTAGCAGAAGTGAAATACAAATAAATAAAATTTAATTAGACTACTACTCTTGAGTTCACTTAGGAAAAAACTCGTGTTGCCAGCTTTATACCTGGGTCAGGATGTGGGAAGAAGAAGTTATGAAATGTCTTCTTGGACACTTTTGCTTGTCCTTTGGTGGTAATAAATGTTTTTCTTTGGGTTGTGCTTTTATCAGTTAGGAAGTATATAGCTTGATTTATTTCGGTACTAAAATAGTTGTATAATTGTTTTATTGTAATTTCACAGTTTTAAAGTAAATATTGATATGTTGTTGGCTTGACTGTGCTAATAATTCAAACATAAAATACACTGTTTTATAGGACCAAATGAGATTAATATGAGCATGGGTGGAAATCCTTATGTACACCCAGGACCATCTAATCAACCAAATGCATGGCCTGAGAGCATGCTCTCTGTTGAGCAAGGTCCACGAGGTTCGCACAACAGGTAATAAGAGATTCTGAATATGTAATGCTCTATTGATTTTCTTTTGCCATGGTAAAATATTATATATAGTATTTTAAGCAAGACAGGAAGCAGTTCTTGAAATAAAAATATATTAAAAACGGAAAAAGAAAATAGTTCTCTAAACAAACCAATTCAGAAGTGCTGAAAATGACTGATGCTGTTATCATTCATTAAAGATTTCTTAATTTCCTCTTCTTCTGTAAGACCTGAATGCTGAATAGTTTTATTTTCCTGGCATAATATCATGGTAAGGAGCCCCTGGTGGCGCAATGGGTTAAACCCTTTTGCCAGCAGGACTACTGACCGAAAAGTTGGAGGTCGAATCTGAGGAGTGGAGTGTGGGGACATGGGAGAAGCCTCCCACAGGATGGTAAAACATCTGAGCGTCCACTGGGCAACGTCCTTGCAGACGGCCAATTCTCTCACCCCAGCAGCAACTTGTAGTTTCTCAAGTCGTTCCTGACACGAAAAAAATGGTAATAGTATAATAATTTAGTTAGCAGATTAGTATTATACCAGACTGTTCTTCATATACAGTGTCGAGCTCTAGCTTAAAGAAACAAAAATCTCCATGCTGGAACATAAGAGAAGAAGAGAGACACATACATTGGCCTGATGTTTACATCTAACTTCATTAATTGTATCTTATGAAACACTTTATGAAATAGCATGGCAATTTTTTATATCTTGTTTCTAATGCCCTTCTGATCTTACTGATGTTTTTATAGGGAATCATCAGAATTGCTTTTCAATTTGATAATAGCTTTGATACGTAAGATGTTGCTTTCATTTTACTGCATCTTGCTTTACTTGTCGAATGAGCCGTCTTCAGTTCTAAATACTGGAAAATGTTTTCCCTTTGAAGAGCTATCATACCACTGAACAATGAATGTCGTAAAAATGTGTGTCAAGCCCAGTCAGTTTTCTTAATACCTGCAATGTCATGACTTTCCTAGGCAATTAGTTAGAAATTCCTTGGATGACCTTTTATATCCTTCTCCAACTGTTGATGGCCAAAGTGATGAAAGAGCTCTTTTAGATCAGCTACACACGCTGCTGAGTAGTACAGATGTCACCAGTCTCGAAGAAATCGATCGAGCCTTAGGAATTCCTGATCTTGTAAATCAAGTAAGTTACAAGTTCTCTCAAGGTGCTTATTGTTCAATTTGTTGAGTGAGTGAAAATGTTTTGGGGGAAAACAAATACAGTCCTACCACCAGCATGTGATAATTGATTTTATGTATGTCAGGGTTCTGTAAACTTAAATTAAATCTGAATATTACCCACTGTCTATGTAGTGACCTGCATCCTTCTTGTTAGACAGCAATAGCAGATACTGATCAAAAAGGAGTATTTGAATGCTGCTTGCAGAATTAGAGGTTAAATAGACTTTAGATAAATGTGGTTTTGCAATGCCATTTCATAGCAAAGAGAAATTTATCCTACACTTCATCTTAACATTATGCTGATATTCCAATATAATAAGGTATTGAGGTACCTTTTCTACATTGGTAGCTGTGATTAGACTACTTTAGTGGTGACTGAAGTCTCACTTGACTAAAAATTGGCTGACAGGTGATGGCTTTGGGTTTTATTTAAGAGCATGCATAACTCAAACTCAATTTCTTTACTTCATAGAATCTTAAATAGTAAGCATATCAGAAATTTCTGTTTATGAGAAAGATGTTCATATGTACATTGTTTGTAAGCTTTTTGGATGAGTAGAAAAGCAGACATTAAGAACTTTTTAATATATCTATTTTAAATACCACAAAACAGCTGCAAAATGTGACCATTTTCTCGATAAATAGAATATTTGCCAATACATTTTGATAATCAAAACTCACTAGTAAATAAATAATAAAAAGTATCATTTCTGGCCATGCACTATATTTTGGGTATCTTGCTCCCTCCAGAGTCTCGCCTGTAAAACTCAAAATTTGAAAATTCCCTCATATTTTAATAATATGAAATGTTAAAATAACATGAAGTTCTTCTGTTTACCTACTGTAATATATTTAATAGATTGTTGCAGTGTGCAAAGTATATTTTAAAACTCCTGCACTCTTTTAAAGGGGCAAGCATTGGAACCAAAACAAGAACCCTTTCATGGGCAAGAACCCGCAGTAATGATTGAGCAGAAACCTCCAATGTATGGCCAGCCCTACCAGGGGCAGGGAGCAGCGATGCCAGGAGGGTTTAGTAGCATGCAGGGCCAACAGGCAGCGTTTAACTCCGTGATGAATCAGATGAACCAACAGAGCAATTTCCCAATGCAAAATATGCATCCCAGAGCAAATGTAATGAGACCAAGAACCAACACACCAAAGCAACTTCGCATGCAGCTCCAACAGAGGCTTCAAGGGCAACAGGTAATTTATTGTATCTTCTTCCAGCAGTTTCCTAAGGAGGGAACTTTGCTTTTTAGGAAATAATGACAGTTTAAGATAGTGTTTAAACCAGTGGTTCCCAACCTTTTTTTGACCAGGAACCACTTTGACTATTGGACCACTCTCCAACATTAGTACCAGAAGGGTTACGAATCAGTTTTTGGTCAACGTTAAATTTGGTTTGGTTATTTGGGGTGCTGCTTTAGAAAATTGCATTGGATAGAACACATCAGTTCTGATACAGAATATATGCCATCCCGTAGTTGCCATCTGCTCACCCACAGAAAACCATATTTAATAAGCCTAGGTACTACAGGAGGGGTTTAGAATCATAGAATCAAAGAGTTGGAAGAGACCTCATGGGCCATCCAGTCCAACCCCCTGCCAAGAAGCAGGAATATTGCATTCAAATCACTCCTGACAAATGGCCATCCAGCCTCTGCTTAAAAGCTTCCAAAGAAGGAGCCTCCACCACACTCCGGGGCAGAGAGTTCCACTGCTGAACGGCTCTCACAGTCAGGAAGTTCTTCCTAATGTTCAGATGGAATCTCCTCTCTTGTAGTTTGAAGCCATTGTTCTCCAGGGAACATTGTTCTCCTAGTCTCCAGGGAAGCAGAAAACAAGCTTGCTCCCTCCTTCCTGTGGCTTCCTCTCACATATTTATACATGGCTATCATATCTCCTCTCAGCCTTCTCTTCTTCAGACTAAACATGCCTGAAGAAGAGAATCTTTGCGAGATCAATCTTTGCGAGATCAATCACTCTCATTGCAATGGTGTAGTAACGGTGAGGGTGTGGACCTTATTTTAGTTCTTGTGGACCATTGGTGGTCCATGAACCACAGCTTGGGAACCACCGATTTAAACTTAACATTTGTTCACTTAACCTGATATTCTGGATAAACTGTTGCATTAATTCCTCATTATTGTATAACTTCCTTTTTTTCATTAATATTCTTTCATTCCCCCCCCCCCCCCAATATTCTGTTAGTTATCAAAATGAAAACGAATGCTTAGGTATACAGATATTTATGTTTCAGTAGTTTTATTTTTGAGCAAGCTTAATGACATCCATTGAACAAAGTATTTTCTTTTTCATTTCGTGACATTGCTTAATGCAGAGTTAAAAGCGTAGCCTTAATATCACGTCAGTCTGTTTGATGTATTTCAAATTTGATCTGTTAATTCTTGCATCCTTCTTTTCAAGTTTTTGAATCAAACACGTCAGACACTTGATATCAAAATGGAGAATCCCAACCCGGGTAATGCATCAGTTATGAGACCAGTTATGCCTCCACAGATGGGATCACAAGTGAGTGACACTGTAATCTTTGCACATGTCTTCATCATAACAATTATTGTTTTACATCACTATGGTTGTCTTCTATTTCCAGTTCTTCTCCTAGGTTTGACCCTTCCCATGTGTCCCCCATCTTTCTCCATTTAACATCCCAATATTCCTACCCTGACTCTTCTCTATCCCTAACTCATGTTTGAATCGAAGTTACAAATAAGCTGTTTTGCTTGCTGCGATTTTTGTATAGATAGAAATTAGATCATATTTGCAGTTATATAAGAACATATCCAAGACAAGCTAGATGCTTAGGGAGAAAGCCACACTAGTCCAGCAAGCCTGGGTTTTGTGTCTGCTCAGCATTTAGTAGTAATGCTGCTTATGTGAAGTGTTTGAGTTTCAGCCAACCATGTCTCCTTCATGTATTCTCCATTCCATGCCCATCCCTGGTTTTCTATTGTTCTCTCCTCTCTTGTCTGTAGATGTGGGCAATAAATATATTCAGTTCTTGTTGGGCTGTTTTCATCCCCCACTTTCAACTCTCCACCTCAGCTCAAAAAGGATGTTTTTGTATTACAGCAGATTTTGAGTTCCCTAAAGCCAGAGTGGGGCAGTGCAGATTTTTTGTTGGAAAGGAGATGATGGGAGTTGGAGGAGAAGAGCTTATTTCAGGGCTGCAAAGCTTATTTCGGGCCTGCTGCACATAGCATGTGGTTTACACAATTCTCAGACTCAAGGAAGAAGGCATTCGGGAGTGGGTTAACTGCCATTGTCATCCAGGATAGGCAGGAGTTGCCTGACTTGAAAGCCTGTTTGAATCTGCTTGAACCCCTAGTTCCTCCTTCAGTTCTCCATCTTATTTTAGATCAAATCAGGGGTTCTTTACTTCTCTGCTTTACTTATTTCCAGATCTAGATTTCCTTGTTTCCTCTCACTCTTTGTTTCTTTCTTCAACTAATTTGTTCTACATTCCTATTGGAAAAGCACTTTATCCTGTTGCCATGTTGTTCTCATCTCCCCATTTTTTCAGTTTCCATGGCACCTGTGAATAAACCAACAAATCCAGAAATCACCGCACAGACAAATTTCTCTACTGGAGGGCACCAGAGTGATTTTGATGGTGTCCTCCAGGAGCTGCTTGCTCCCCAGCTAGCACATTTCTTTTGCTGATTTTACTTCCAATTCAGGGCTTGCCATAGGAAATTGGCTGACTTATGGCACCCCGGCTATTGCAAAGGGAAAAACACTGTATGATGCCTGGTCAAAGACAAATTAATGACCCCTGTACATGATCCCTGGTGGCAGCTCTGTGGGGTTCATCTGGAAGTGAATGGCATTGAATACTCCTTTTCTAAGAGCAAATTAGTAGCTGTGAGCTGGATTGTCAGTGGCAGGTCTGTGAGGTTAGCTGGGGAGTGATCAGCACCAAATGATGTGGAACAACTGTGGCAAGTGGAAGGATTGCAGTGGGTAGAGGCAGGAAAGCCACTACTGCAAATTTTAAAATAAAAGTGGAGCAAAAATTCAGTTCTTTAGCAACATAGTAACCTTATTGTAATTTGTTACAAAATTAATATGTTGGTCTTAAATTTGCCATAAATTTTTTTTAAAAAAATATGCTGAAATAGATCAGCAATGCTGTCTTGGCATCTAGGGCCATCTATAGAATTTATATTTTATGGATGGTCTTTCTGGAGGTCTCGGTTTTAGCCAGGTGATTAAAGGCCTATGTATTTATAGCTTACTATGCTTTCCAAGGTATGTAACAACTTCCTTTGCTAGAGATCTTGCCACTAGCCACTTGGATTAACTTTCACCTAGGGGAGCTAACTTTAATAGGCCCTTTAGGTAGATATCCCAGATTCTGCAGGGGTGGTTGCTGGCTGGTGGGCATCATAGCAGGTGGCTGTCTAATAGGCTGAGACATGGGGACATTTCCCTTGCCCCTTCCTCAAAGTGGGCATTGAACTTGGGCCATTTTTTTTTGTCGTGTCAGGAGCAACCACTCCTGTTGTGAGAGAATTGGCCGTCTGCAAGGACGTTGCCCAGGGGACACCTGGATGATTTTTGATGTTTTATCATCCTTGTGGGAGGCTTCTCTCATGTCCCCGCATGAGGAGCTAGACCTAATAGAGGGAGCTCATCCGCCTCTCCCCGGATTCGAACCTGCGACCTGTCGGTCTTCAGTCCTGCCGGCACAGTGCTTTAACCCACTGCGCCACCGGGGGGCTCCTTCTGCCATTGAAAAATGCATATCTAGTCAGTGTCCGTTTATTCAATAGTTTATTTCGCTTTCCTGTTTTGTCTCTTCCTGATGATGTTCAGTCTTCTCTATGACAAGGACTGGGGGGCCGGTGGGGAGGGAAGGAACTTGGGGTTCAGTAGATGAAAGCAGACATTTGATTTGTGATCCCTTTCCTGATCTAAATGGCCGAGTTCACCCATTCCTCAATGCATCCACCTCTGCAGCATAGAATGAACCTTCATGGAAAGTAATCAGTTCAGTCTTCTCAGCACCAAATGATGTGGAACAACTGTGGCAAGTGGAAGGATTGCAGTGGGTAGAGGCAGGAGAGCCACTACTGCAAATTTCATTTATACTCCTGACCTAAACCTCCTGAGATGTTCAAATATTTAAATGCATCAGATAACCACTCTGGATGTATCATGCAAACTGATTTATTGTTGAGAATGAATCTTAAGCTTCTCAAATTGCAGTTCCTTTTGTCTGTTCAGAGACAAACTTCTTAGAATCATAGAGTTGAGGGAGAACATATGGGCCATCCAGCCCAACCCCCGCCATACTGCAAGAAAAACACAATCAAAATATCCCTGACAGATGGCCATCCAGCCTCTGTTTAAAAGCCTCCAAAGAAGGAAGCCTCCATTACACCCCAAGGCAGAGAGTTCCGTTGTTGAACAGCTTTTACAATAAGGAAATTCTTACTAATGTTCAGATGGAATCTCCTGTAATTTGAATCTATTGTTCTGAGTCCTAGTCCCCATGGCAGCAGAAGACAACCTCCTTCCTTTACTTGTTTTATTTATAGATATAAAATACTTAATTATTTTGTTTCTTTTGATCTAAGTAGACTGTTCTCTTTTTTCTCTAATGCTTTCCTCTTGTATCTATTTGGGTATTAGCAACAGGGCTTCCTTAATGCACAGATGGTGGCCCAGCGAAATAGGGAGCTAATAAGTCACCACATCAGACAGCAACGAATGGCAATGATGATGCAGCAACAGCAGCAACAGTCTCAGACCTTCAGTCCTCCCCCAAATGTTACTGCCTCAGGAAGCATGGATGGTGCAGTCACAGGCCCTCCAATGGCTCCAGTCCCACCCCAGCAGTTTTCATACCCATCAAATTATGGTATGTATGTTTTTTGAATCCTGCCTTCTGTGAAGACTCATGGTTTGAAAATAGCAGTAGCCCCACATATGTAAGATTAGAACATAGTTAAAGAGTCAGTTTTGTTAAAATAACAATTATTTTGTTTTTAAAAATTAAAAATATGTGCGCCTAGCTCCACTAAAATCACTTACTTAATCAGTTGTGCTTATTTCAGTCTCTCAATTTTCTCTGTTCCCCTTCTTTTACCTATTGACTGTATGGCCTTAAAAGAATAATGTGATAAAGCTAAAGTTACAAATATTGGCCTAAATTATATTGGCTAGCCTCAGCTAGAGCAGACCTGTTGAATGTTGAGTCAACGTGTAGTTAAATCCCATTTATTCAGTGTATCTTCTCTAATGTGGTTTACCTAACATGATGTTGGTCATTACTAAAAACAGAAAAACCTAATTCCATTTTTAGCATCAAATAGAGTAGACACACTGAATCAGTCAAAGTAATGTTCACCTATCAAATTCCTTTTGATTCATTGAATCTCCTCTATGAGATTGACAATTAGATTTATGAATATGAGATTAACAATTAGATTTAAGCCTGGTTGAAATGAAAAGGAGGAGTTGAAGGAGTTTATCACATTTTTATTCAGGTAATCTAAAGGAGTTTCATTATACAATTTGATGTCTATTTGTTCACAATATTGCAAAGCTTGGTTTCCTCATCCCAGCTGGGAGGCATAGATTTAAATGATGGCTAAGGCAACATCTATGATGCAGTTTGACTCTACTTTAACTGCCAAGACTTAATGCTATGGAGTTGTAGTTTGTAAGGCACCAGCACTCTTTGTCAGAGAAGGCTAAAGATGGCTTGGTTACCTGGGGCCAAGAAGATGTTCTGCAGTTGCAAAAGTCATGTTCTGTACTTTTACCAGGAGGCAGAGGTAGTATGTAACCAGCACAAATGTTGTAAATCCTTGAGCTACTAGATGCGTAGAAACAGGGCTATCAGCACAATCAACACAAGTTTATTTAACACTGTTTATTTCTTTATTTATTTTGTTTATTTATATCCCGCGTTTTCACTCCATACAGACACTCAAAGCGGCTCACAACTAAAAACATTTAAGTACAACTTAAAATATACAAATATTAAAACAGTATTAAATGGCATTAATATTGAAACAATCAAGGTTAAAACCATGAAAGCATATAAAATCACATAACAAAATCACAGCAGCCCTTGATGGTCATACACACCTTTGTCTTTAAAGTCCTCCCTGAATAAAATGTTTTTAGCTTGCTGCCAGGACAGCAGAGAGGGGGGCATTCTGGCTTCCCTGGGCAGAGAGTTGCAAAGTTGATGGTCAGCCACCAAGAAGGCCTGCTCTCTCATTCCCACCAACAGAGCTTGAGATGGAGGTGGGACTTAGAGAAGGGCAAGATCATAGGGCCTGAGCAGGTTCGTACAAGGGGATGCGGTCGGCCAAATAGCCTGGATCTGAACCATCTAAGGCATTAAAGGTCATAACCAGCACTTTGAATTGTGTCCAGTAATAGACTTGCAGTCAGTGGAGCTGCTGCAACAGATGGGTTGTCTGCTCCCTGTAGCCAGCCCCATTGAGAAACCTGGCTGCAGCTCTTTGGACCAGCTGAAATTTCTGAGCATTTTTCAGAGGCAGCCCCACGTAGAGTGCGTTACAATAATCCAGACGGGATGTAACTAAGAGGTGTACCACTGTGGCCAGATCCGGCTTCTCAAGGAATGGGCGTAGTTCCCTTCTGACCACCTGCAAACACCTGGGCCTCCAGGTTCAGCACTGAGTCCAGGAGGACCCCCAAACTGCGAACCTGTGTCTTTAGAGAGAGTGTGACCCACCCACCACAGGCTGGATCCCTATTGCCTTCCTACTGACCAGGAGTACCTCTGTCTTGTCTGGATTAAGTTTCAGTTTGTTTCCCCTCATCCATTACTGATGACAAACACTGGTTTAGGGTCAGGACAGCTTCCTTGGCATTAGGTGGAAAGGAGTAATAGAGTTGGGTGTCATCTGCATATAGGTGGCACTGCATGCCAAAACTCAGGATGACCTCTCCCAGTGGTTTGATGTTTATGTTGAACAGCATGGGGGACAGCAATGGAACCCTGTGGATCGAACAGAAGTCCCCAAGCACCACCTTCTGGGTACAGCCATCCAGAAAGGACTGGAGCCACTGTATAACATCCCAGTGCAATGACCTAGAAAGATCATCTTTCTAGGTCATCTCGAGAGATCCAGGAGAACCAATAGGAACACACTCCTCTAGCTCTCTGTGTAGGTCATCCACCTAGGTTTACCACTTCTGCTAAATGTAGTGCATATATAGTGCTCATATATGTGAAATTGGCACACATTTTTATTTTGTCGTGCATACAGTTTTAGCACAGGTGCTTTAATATGGATGTAATATGACAAGTGGCTTATTGGAACAGATGCGCTGAACACACTTTAGTTGCTCTGTAATTTAATGAAGGAAGCATTTATGAGACATTTCCTTTCAAGAAAAGTATCTCAAGTAATTACTGCTTAAAAATAACTCCCAACATATTTTCTTTTAAAGGAATGAACCAGCCACCAGATCCTGCCTTCAGCAGGGTGTCCAGTCCTCCTAACCCCATGATGGCTCAAAGAATGGGACCCTCGCAGAATCCTATGATGCAGCATCCTCAGGCGACACCAATGTATTCTTCTCCTGAGATGAAGGGCTGGCCATCAGGAAGTATGGCCAGAAGCAGGTGAGGGAAGAATAATCCTGGTTATGCCACTTTGAGTCTCACCCATGGGAGAAAAGCAGGATAAAATAAATAAATAAATAATAAAAATTAATAGTGTTTTCAGAACAAGTCTGTCAATTTGGACAGTGCTAGCATCCTGTTTTGGGGAGTTTTGCCGAGCTGAATTATGTGTTTTTGGAAAAATCATCATTACTGCATCTGCAAAGTGTGCCTAATCTTAGCCATTAAACAAATTGGTTAACTTTATAACATAGTAATTGAAGTTGGATTGCATGAAATACTATTTAAGAATAATCACAGCTTGTTGAGTTCATACAACATAGCAAGCCTAGTTTAGGGGAAGCTGAGAATCCGAAAGCTTCCTCTCCAAACTACATTTCCCAGAATTCTGCAGGAGCAAACCGGAAGATAGGGAAATGCAGACCTGCACTTTAGCCTTTTAATGTGATATCATCCAAAGTGTATAATGAGATAACTAGGTCCTTAATAAGCAGCACAATGCCAATATTGATTAGTTGTTATCCTGGCATGGTGTTAGTTGCTGAGGGAATATTGAAGAGGAAATAATTAATCAGAGCCTTTCTTAAACTGTTTCCCCCCCCCCCCCCCCTGGATGTTCTAGTTCCTTTCCACAGCAGCAGTTCAGTCATCCTGGGAATCCTGCAGCTTACAACATGTTGCACATGAACAGCAATGGTGGTCACATTGGGCAAATGAATATTAATACTATGCCTATGTCAGGAATGCCCATGGGCCCAGACCAGGTAAGATTGCTCCTGATATTGGTTCTAATAGGAGTTTTTAAAAGTACTTAGAATTTTAAAGTGCCATTTCAAGTGAATGTTCACAAACACGTTTCAGCCTTTTCACATTGTATAGTTGTCTTTTTTCTTGCTGTACACTTTATCTTATTTCTCTTGGCATTAGGAAAAATCCTTTCACTCACCTTTATCTCCTAACAACCACTGTTAAAAGAACTATCACCCCATCACCACAGGTTTGGCGTTTCTATTACTATCCACATATACACACATTGTTTTCGTTGGTATAAATGTCTATCCACAGGCACTTCACTCTGTGCAATGGATGAAGTAGACCCAAGTCTAGGACTTGGAGTAATGAGTTCAAATTACAGCAAAGGATATTCCACTTGAACATTAGGAGAACTTCCTGGCCTTAAGAGCCATTCAGCAGTAGAACATTTTGCCTCGGAGTGTGGTGGAAGCTCCTCCTTTAGAGCTTTTAAACAGAGGCTGGGTGGTCATCTGCCGGAGGTGCTTTGTGCTTTTTCTGTGTGGCAGGAGATTGAATTATATGACCTATGTGGTCCAGAAGACAGGAGCAGAATTCAAAATGATCTTAAGAGATTAAAGAGATGGGCCAAAACTAACAAAATGAAGTTCAACAGAGACAAATGCAGATACTCCACTTAGGCAGAAAAAAAATGATATGCAAACATACAGAAAGGGGGATGCCTGGCTCGACAGTCCTTGTGGACAACAAGTTAGACATGAACCAACAATGTGATGTGGCAGCTAAAAAAGCCAATGGGATTTTGACCTACATAAATAGGAGCATAGTGTCCAGATGTTCACAGACACGTTTCTGCCTTTTCACATTGTATAGTTGTCCTTTTTCTTCCTGTTTCTATGCTACCCCTCTATTCTGCTTTGATCAGAACACACCTGGAATACTGTGTCCAATTTTGGGCACGGCAATTGAAGGGAGATGTTGACAAGCTGTAAGGTGTCCAGAGGAGGGTGACTAAAATAATCAAGGGTCTGGAGAACAAGCTCAGTGAGGAGTGACTTAGAGAGCCGGGCATGTTCAGCCTGCAGAAGAGAAAGCTGAGAGGAGACATGATGAGGGCCATGTATAAATATGTGAGGGGAAGTCATAGGGAGGAGGGAGCAAGCTTGTTTTCTGCTACCCTGGAGGACTCAGAACAATGGCTTCAAACCACAGGAAAGGAGATTCCACCTGAACATGAGGAAGAACTTCCTGACTGTGAGAGCTGTTCAGCAGTGGAACTCTCTGGCCTGGAGTATGGTGGGGGCTCCTTCTTTGGAGGCTTTTAAACAGGCTGGATGGCCATCTGTTGGGGGTGCTTTGAATGAGATTTTCCTGCTTTTTGATAGAGGGTTGGAATGGATGGCCCACGAGGTCTCCTCCAACTCTATGAATCTATGAATACTGATTCATGCTTTTGCTCCTTAATCTTCAATATTAAATGTTTGGTTTCCTAAGAAAATGTGTGCCTCTTACGCTTGGTTTTTTGTTTTGTTTTTTCCCCTTTTGCTGCAGAAATACTGCTGACACTTCCAACTGCAATCTCCCAATAGGCAGATGTCATACATGGCAAGCTCAAATATTACAGAAAAGTCTGCGCAAACATCACAGCAACTTTCTTCTAGCCTTCTGGAATTGCCACATCTTTTCCCATGAAGGTGTCCCAAGTGACTTCATAATTATGGACTTTTTGTGGGGGGGGGGGGGGGGGGGGGGGGTAGAAGCATAGTATCACTTTGTTGTGTTAAAAACAACAACCAAGGTCAGATATAATTTTGGCACGCTGCCTCTAGCACCATGAGATTGGTAATGGCATTTGAGTAAATGTGATGGGTAGACCCTTGAATACCGCTTCTGTTTACTGTAGCTATCCAAAGCCCTTAACTACAGGCAGACCAAAGTGCCTGAAGAAGCCTGGACAATAGTCTTGAGTACTAGAGCCTCTGACAGAATGTAGTTCCTGGCCTTGATTTAAAAAACGGAACAGGATGCTGAACCTTTGTGCTGCTGTGAATCCTGCTCCCACATGTTCTGATCTTCTAGTGGCAATAACCAAGGAGCCACCACATCCTCCGACTCCTGCTCTTTGTTGCCAAAGGGCTATGGGGAGATTAAATACATATAATCATGATAATGATTTCCATGATGATGTGCAGCTTTGTGCACTTTATAAAATGCTGTACGAGCGGGGTCAATGCAATACCTTTAATAATAAAGAATGGATATAAAAATAATCAAATTCATGCCCTCTTTCAAGATCGGTTTAAATTATTACATAATGATTTTCTGTTACGGAAATCAGAGCAATAATTCTACTTTTTAAATTAAATTTCATAAAAGTCAAGGCAAGGCATTGCAATTTGAAGAGAAAATCTCCTTGTGAATATTTTGTATATATGATCTTAAGATGTTGTATTATATATATATGACTTTTGTAGGCCACTAACTCATTTTTGAAGAGTTTGTGAAGCTAAATATTTAACAAAGATAATTTCTGTAAACTCGGTTTAGTCAAAGTTGTCCAAATAGGGGTGTTTTTTTTTTATTTAAATGGTTTTGGACTTGGGTGACTGTGGCCCTTATCCTCTTTTTATTGGTTTCTGACAATTTATTTAGATCTTTTATGTACTGGCTTTTAAAAAGACTATTTGTTTATATTTTAGTGGTCTTTTAATACTTTCTCTACACCTTAAGTGTGCACTTTGTTACTTTTCTTATAGAGAGCAATTTGATGACAAAAATACTCTTTTTAGCTGTCATAAGAGTCTGTGGAATTTTTAATATAATTCTCTTTTCAAGGAAAGGGGCCTCTGCTCTAAGACATTTGGTCAACTTTTAATGAAACCTCAGTGTTTTGTGTGTGTGTATGTATGTGTGTGTTAAATGTCTTCTATCATCAGGGAGCACATCTGGTGATACATAAATATCCAATTGTGTGTGGCAATTAACAAGATGTATCACAATTAATTGCTATACTGATAACAAATATATTTATTTTCTAAATAGTTTTGTTCATTTCATATTCTAGTTGAGAGGTCAGAATCCCCATAATTTTCTGTCAAATGAAGATATATTGATTCTTGTCTTCTTTTCCAACCCCAAAAACCATTGTAGAAAGGCAGGCCAGAATTTCTGAAAGCAGTGTGATGTTTGCTATTTTACCTCCTTCCATTGCAGATTCAATCTGATTTGCTCTTGAATAAGGAAATTGGTGATTTATTTGATTCATAATTGTAGTTCAGCTTCATTTTGCAAAAGCTATTTTTTGTAAGGGACAGAATTATTTAATTCTGAAGTTATTTCCCTGCAAAGCTGCTAGTACCTGAACACAGATTTTCATGTTTGCCTGTTCTGCATGATCCACTCAGCGATTGAATTTAGTTTCAGTAAAGTTGTACTTCAAATATTTGGGCTGCGACCCAGAATTCTGCGTGTTCTGATGTGCTCATGTATCCACGAAATTCCTTGTCCTTTAATTTCTTTTATGTATCTTTTTGTGTGTAGATTACATATTGTTCAGTGGATTTTAAAACGGTAACCTGCTTTGAATGCATACTCCTCATGTGTATCACTTCATGGATGTGCAATGGTCCCAACTTTAAAGTCAATATGGAAATAGGTTGTACACCTGCACATTGGAGCCTTTGTGCAGATGTGGTGCCTCTTGATTTGGGCATTTTTTAAGACTTCAGAAACCACCTTCTGAGTATACCAGGGCAAAGTCATGGTAAGACTCTAGATTCTATCAACTGAGACAAGATTTTGTTTTCACTTTTATGTATATTGACAATAAGCTCTGGTTTGCTTTGGAGAATTGTTAAAATATGTGTTGCTGTTTCCTTTTCATTTTGAGTTACTCTCTTTGCATTGTAGAAGTGTCGTGGTCCCTGCGGTTCACTGGTGGATCTTCTCCATTATGTTTTTCCCAGTTGCTATGTTTTGCTGATTCCAAAGATAGTTGAAACTTGATAAAGGAAAATTAACCACATCTTTTAAAAATTGCGACTACTAGTTTGAATTGGCTTTGTCTGGAATACTCCAAGCACTGGTGATTAAAATGATCATATCTGGAATCAAAAATGAACAATTAAAAATAGATTTCTGTTGCAGCACAATCGGTCTAGTAACAGGACTGTTCATCATATGATGTGTGGATTAGCCAAATGGCACACCAAACATGGCTGAATGTGACAATAAGCTTAGTTTGGTGTTGGTGCCTTCTGAACTCATTGTCTTTGTAGTAAGCTTATTCTTAGCACATCATTGAAACTTTGGAAAATGTTTGTGTGTCATGATGTATAAACATTTTCTATCTTTGTGCTTTTACTTTAGTGAACAATTTTTCAGCTGTAACAAACCATTTGAATGTTGCACAAGTTAGCACACAGAATTTAGTAGCAGACTGTCACATGACAGCAATTCAGCAAATATGAAACCATTCAACTGAGAGCAATATTTCCTAATCTCAGGAGAAAGGCATACAGTATTGAGAATTGATTCTAAAGTTAGTTTACATTGAATATTGCTTGTAATAATTGATCTTTACATCACAAAAGCCCTCTGTGTGGGCTGACATTAAAAAAAAGGGTTGGTCGTGTGGTCTTTTTTTCTGGGCTTTTTTGTTTTGTTTGGATGTTAATAATGTAAATAAAGGTTTCTATTTGAAACTGAAGCTTGATGGTTTAATTAGCTTATCAGTGATCAAACCGATTCACATGAGATTTTCCCCTATTGTGCTCCTTTGGTATTGAATTACATCTACATTTTTACTCCTCCACTTTGTTTCTAACTTGGAAAATAAATTTACCTTACTGTTTTCTATCTCAGGTAACTTGAATATATGGGTTTTTGGTAACTGGAATGCAACCTGTTTTAATTCATAACACAAAACTCTTTTATCCCACACAACAGTTTAGTTGTCATTGAAGTCTTTGGGATTTAGTTAAATACAGAAGAAAGGAGAGGTTACCTAGATATATCAACAAAACAGCCTGAGAGCAGTGGTCAAAAATAAAAGATTGCCAGTATCCACATCCCATTTGTTGCTAGTATCCACATCCCATTTAGGGACTGGAGAGGCATTTCTGGTCAAAATCCGTGGGAGGCACACATTCCCATTCCTGATATGTTGATACAAAATAACTGCCTTTAACAAACAAACTCACATATAAAAGTAAACAAGTGCTTTCTTTTATAGTAGTAATTTTGGTTTTTGAACATACAATATAATCACAAAGACTTAATACAAATCCAACTTTGTTAAAATTCAAGACATACAGAAACTGCTTTTAATTTGCAGTGCTTTTAAAAATGGGTAAATTCGTAAATTTTATTACGCAATGAAGTGAGTTTTCAGAAATGGTATTGGGGCATGCCAACACTTTAGTAACAAAATTCTTCTGGACTTCTTTTGAAACAGGACACTGAATATTTACAGTACCATGCTGGAAAGTTGGTTTCTCTGAGTGCAGACCTATTTTCTCCTATTGGCCTCAGGGTAATGTGTAAACTATGAGTTTAAATTGGCTTCTGTGATAGAAGAACACCTGAAGACTGTTAACGTGCATCCATTTAGAAATATCCTCTTGAGATCAATAGCTGTTTTAACCACTTTCTAGCAATGTTGATGTGCCTATGCCATAAGGAAAAAAAAGTCCAGCCTTGCATTTTTATACGATGCCCTTCTAATGCCACTTGGAGGTCAAGTTACAGTGGTGTTACAGACTGGCTTCCACTGGAATGGCTTTGTGTGCTTTTGCCCCTTAGGGTTCCAAGTGCCTTAGGCCAACCTTGGTTTGGGCTTTGCCTTCTCTTGGAACAGTAGCTGCAGTGATTGGTGGAAGTAATACAGATTGTGAAGCAAGTGAGGTATAATCCAAAGCAAAAGCAGGTAAACTGGTAGGCTTCAAGAAAGGATACATTTTTTGATGACAGTAGTCCCCAGAAGATCACTGTGACTATTCAGATTGCATAACAGTGCAAAACCCTATCTACCTTAGCTTCAAAGTTCATCCAGTCCTCCAGGCTAACATAATTCGATCGGAAATCATACACACTTTTGTTAAGTCTGTACATGAATTCAAGTTCTGGCCAGTTTGTATCCTCATTGAGGTCCAGCAGTTGCAGGAAATTAGCCTTCCCAGCCTTCCCAAAGTTGTCCTCTGTAAAATGGAAACAACACATACTTCATTACTTCACTATGCAGGAGAATGGGCTGTGAAACACAACTATTTGCAGCAGTCATGCAAGGGAATAAAAAGAGATCTAGACTATTATTTGATAGAAGCAAAAGATATATTCAGGGAAACTACAACTTAAATTTTAAGTAAAACCCAGCACCCTCTTCAATAGAGAGTATGCAGCTTCTTCATCAATTTCATTTTAATGAACAGGGGTTATGATAGTTCTACTGTTCACACTCCTGTTTATAAACATGTGAAAATGCTCTACAATAAAATACATAGCCTTGTCTTGGCCCATAATTTTGATTTTCTGTAATGGACTGCTTTGTCTTTTTTTTTTTTCCAAAACCTTTTCCCAGTTCCAAGTGGCTTAAACTGCCAACACCTTTTCGTTGAATTAGAAGAACGGGCAGATTTATGTGTTACTTTGTTTAAATGCAATAAATACAAATACAAGAGTAGCATTTTATGATAATATCCCACTTGTATGTTACTCCACCTACACTTCTAGTAGTAATTCTGGAAGTAGCATAAGTTCTTTTGAAAAGTAAGGTGAATATTTTATTTGACTGTAGCTATTTGTCAACTTTCTAAAATGGATAGAAAGTATCTACAAAACACAGATTTGTGTTTCTAGTTTTTCAGTCCCTGCTTCAAGACTCAGGAATGTGACTTCTAGTTAGTAATTTATAGACTCACAATTTCCCAGATTAAATCACTATAAGGAAGATATTTTAGGAATATGAAGTGCATGCAGAAACAAAAACAGAGAGAGAAAAAATTGAGGCAAGTAATTTTTACAAGAATAAACTCCCAACTCACAATGATTTGGAAGATGAAGGTCTCTTCATTTCTGGCCACTTTCGACGCTGAAACTGCCTAATATTTGAGCCATAAAAAGAAAAAAAAATATCAACAAGAAACCACCAATGCTACAGTATAGAAGGAATAACGAAAAATGGGTTTAGCATAACACATAGCATTGTTCCTTTTTGTAGGATTATGAAAATAGTGATTTACAGAACCATCCACATTTTATTCTAACATTGCTCCACAACCTAAATCTTTGGTCTTAAAACAAAAAGTGGAATAAACAGAACTGGGAAGCCCTTGAGCGTTTTAACTGGAGGTCAGCTGTTACCAACAGTGCTATGTATTTTGAAGAGGCATAAATGGAGAAAGGTGTCAAAGAGGAGTGCATGCCAAGCAAATCCCTGTGACCGCCTTCCATCTGGAAATGTACATCCCCACTGTGAAAGACCATGCTGATCCAAAATAGAGCTCCCTAGTGACTCACAGACCCACTGCCAACTCTACCCTTGGAAGACCATCATATTCTGCCACTAGTGATGGACTATGATGATGATGACTTCAGTACTCAAATGTTAAGATACTTGGTAGGAGAAAAAGTATGCAAATTATAATACTTCTAATTGAAATAGTACCTGTATTGTTCATAGCTTCCATCTTTAAGGCCTGAATTGAGAGAGAAAGTATTTATTATCAACCAATCACAACACAGCTAGAAAAAACATGTTGTAAAGCATAGTCTGTAATGGAAAAACATACTCTTAAAAGTAAACAAGTGGCTTCCTGTGACAGATTCTATACAAATAATTTGGAGGGAAACAAAGCACCCCACCTGCAAAGTGCAATAAGGTTGAAATAAGAAATTCATCAAATTAAAAACTCATGCACTCATTACGCTCACATATCAGCAGGCCAGAGGGTTGAATTCTGGCATGTTGAGATTTGTGATTCAATTTCTGTGATTTGTTATCCATCTGAAACTAAAACATGAACTGCTTTGTTTTAAAGTATGGCTTGCAGTCATATCTTAATCTGCAGCTGTGGCCTTCCCCCAAACGCCTGCCCTAAAACAGGATCTGACGAAAGAGGTAGGAAAGATATGAATCAAGACTACAGGTTACCATGAGGCTATTCAGCTACTGGCTCTTTGTAACTAGGCCAACTTTGTTAGCAAGCTGTTTTTGTGGCAAAAGCAAAACTAAGACTCCTTACCCAGTTCCATGTTCCGGGTCCTGGGGTTGCACTGCTTATATCCTTTACAGCTTCTTAGCTCCATGAGCTGCACATGTAGTTGATTGAGAACATCTCTGTCTAATGTGTTCACTGCATTAATTAGCTGTAAAATAAGTTTTTGTTTATTCCATGGGAAAAACTATTGTTTCCTTTGAAATCCCGCAGTTACATACTATGACAGTGCAAGGCTCTGACTGCTAGCTCTGTACTAGAAAATTACAATGTTGCTTACTGAGATACTGAAACTAACTATTGTAGTGATCAGAATTCTACAGCTCAATTGTCCAAAAGACACTTGAAATATGTCCCTCACTGGACTGCTTGCAAGGTCCAATGGGATATGCTTTAGATATCTTTACATACTATATAAAATCACGTTCAATCAAAGCAAATGAAGGTCCTCATGTTTGAGAAGAAATTCTCAACCATCTAATGAACATCTCTTCTTGGAAAATGTAACAAATGAACATGTCTTGTGCAATATTTATTTGAATTTGGTAATTTCCTAGCCACCGAGCCTAAATCTCTTTTAGGCTCCCAGAAAATCTAGCCAGCTTACCAGCTGTTAGGAATTGTGGGAGCTGAAGTCCACAAAACATCTGGAGGAGCAGAATTTGAGAACACTGTTCTAGAGAAAGACTGGATACAAGATTGAAATAAGCCCTACACCTCTCACTCTTCCTTGTTATTTTTAAAGTAATTTTTATTCATGAACAAAAATCAAACAAACATACAGAGAACCAAGAATATAAAATTAGACAAGAAACAAAAAATAAATCACAGATCCACTTCTCCACCCACAAAAGCAAAATCTACTACTAAAGATATATACATATACAACAACAATGTCTGCACTATGAGCCTCACGCTCTCTGCCTGATGGTTTTAGCTTCTTTACTATTTAACACCTATAATGACTAATGTCAGCCATTGAGTTCTGCTATCATTCAAAAAACCGACCCCTACATAGCTTAATCTGAAACTTTATTTTATTAAAAGTAAAATCTGTTACTTTCCCCCTATGGCTTAAGGCATTTGAGCCAAACATGCTGTATTAGTACCTGGGTTAATTTTAAGGAGTCTTTGGGGGGTTCACTGCCATGCTAATTGATTGCCCTTCCACTTTGTTGTTGAATTTCTACAAATCTCTTTCCCCTAGGCCTGCTTGTTGGGGTTGTTCTTTGGGTACATTAGGCTGATGAATCCAAAATCTTTTCCAGTGTAACCTCGGACCATGGAAGCTGTTCCCCCTGCCAGGCTGCTTTCTATCTGCTCCCCCCCCCAAAAAAAAAAACCCCCAACAACTCTCTTCTTAGTTTGGAAGTGGAGAACCCCCAGACTAATTATCACTAGGTGATGAAGGAGCGGCCTTTTGTCCCAAGAGCAACCACAATGAGCCTGGGTACATTCACACAGCCAATCAATGAATGGGGAGAGGGAGTTTCAC